CATATCAAATTTTCAGAACTTAAAAAACATGTTTTGGACAAGTGGACAAGTGGACAAGTGGACAAACTGACAAACAGAATTAAATTTTCATTTTGGGAAGAAGAAGAAAATCTTATTTTGGCTATAACTTTTGAACGGAGCGTCGGATTTTGACAAATGACCCCTCATTCGACGGGTATTTTCAAAAGGAATACAAGTAAATCATTGCGAGGGGGCATTTATCCCCACCGGCCCCAACAGCTCCAAATTTCTAAATTTTTACTTTTTCACTTTCACCGCTCTCTCTCCCAATCCAATTGATTTTCTTAAAGTCTTGGTATGCAATCCTTTAAGTTTTTGCAATACCTTTCGATTGGTGTATTACTCATTACGATCTGACTATCACAGCAGATTTTCATTTCTTCGTGTATATATAGTAGTCGCCTTCGCACACTCTCCTGGTGCGCTTCGTCACTACATGGACTGCCGTCCATAGTGATTAAAATATTCTTTTGTAAAGAATTTTTCAAAATGATTTTTAAAGTTCTTAAAAATCAATTACAAATTAAATAATGATTGTTAAGATCCAATTTAACATATTTGTGAACAATTTTTAATTTCTAAAACGTATTTTGCAGTGTGGACGTTCTTTTTGCATGCCTCTTCTGACGTCACTCTCTTGGCGAGCTTTCTTTTTCGTTCGCGCAGAAAGAGAAGCTTGACAAAAGGGCTTACGTGTCCCAGAGAAGATTTCGCGGAAAGGCCATTAAAACTTCTTTTTTCGGGGGCGCAAGAGCGGGGCCAACGCGCCCGATGTCAAATGGCCCAACTTTTAATGGAGCCAAGGAGTTTCCTTTTCCTTCCCCGAATTCTCTCTCACTCCGCCGAGGCAATTTGTGCAATTGCGAAGGCTGTCCTTCTCTCTAAAAAATATGTATATAAAAAAAGCTCCAAAAAAACCGCCTTCCTTTCGGAGGCCATCATCAAAATTTTGTTGGCCAGCTCAGAACAAACAGTCAGCGTTGCGTGTCGCCCTTTTGCATATTTGCCTTAATTTTCATTATTCTCATATTCATTTCGTTTTATTTCTTTCCGGCCTTTAATGGGCCGCGATTTGAGGGAATGATGAAAAATGCTGATAGGCCAAGTTAATATGAATGAATGATGATAAATGCACAATGTTTTTGTTCATAATTAATTTTTACTGTTTCGTTTTACTTCTTTTGTTTGGGCCTAAAGTGCCCATTAATGGCACGAGTGTCGCGTTTTATTCGGGGAAAATTCACTGGGCTGAAAGCACGTTGGCCAAAACAAAATCAACTGAAATCAACAGGTGTGCAGATTTAATCGGTAAATTCGTATGATTTTAATCGTAAAAAAAACATAAAAATTTAAAAAAAAAAACAATATACTTTTAATGGTTAAAACCCCTTAATTTTGATTTAATCTTAAAAAATCAAGCTAAAAATAACATAAATAGGGAAAAACATTTTTTTTTAAATGTTTTGAAACTTTTAAAATAAATCTATACAATTCGAAAACAATTTCCTATAAAAAATACCTTAACACATCATTAATAAGAATTTTTTTTTGGAATATAATGTATGATTAATACTGTCTTTGATGTTTTTTTTTGACAATTTTGATTTTTAACATATCGGTTTAATTATATTTCTTCTATTAAATCTTTTAATGGCGATGTTCAAAGTGCAACCCATCTTTTCCGCAAAAATCAGACACCAATCCCCTTTCCCATCCCATTTCCATTTCCATTCCCAAGGTGGATTCACACCTCAATAACCCGCCATCGGCTGTCATAGTTTTTCCTTGAGAACTTCCAAATGCAAAAGACCAGGTGAGTGTGACAGAGTTATAGAGTTGGATGCGAACACGTCTACCGGGCCGTTGAAGTGCGGCAATCTGAGCGTGACGAATAATGATTTTACACCGCTCCAAAGAATTGCGAGTGGTGCGATGGGATGGATGGAATATGTACATATGTGCCCAATGATGACGGTGGTTCGGTGGTTCGGGATCGCATCGGGTGGGTTGGGATGGTGTGGACTTTGGTACGGAATTTTTCTTAGAGACACAGTCTCATAGCCCGGGTAAAAAATACTGGCGAAAAGTGTGCAAATTGTGAGACAGTTTGTATGCTGAACGGATGAATTTGAAATTTGCATTTAGTTGGCTTATTGAGTTTGCATCTGTATATCTGTCGTGTTCGCAGCTCCTTTTAAAGCAACTCCGACGGCTAATTTCATTTGGCTGCAGTTTTGCCTGAAAGCAAAGAGGCGTCGTTGACAGACGGACACAAAAAGGGGGGGTGGTGGGAAGAAAAATTACACGGGGGTGTTGGCCAGAAGGGGGCGTTCACTGGAAAATCAGTTCCCCATTGTCATTTCCATCACTTTTACCCAGCACAATAGTTTTGGTCACGTTATCGTAATGATTTAATCATATCATGCAATTTTATCCAATTGATTTGCTGAAACTATATTGTCTTTTTATCATTTAGCTGCAGTGTTTGACTTTTTTATTTATTTAAATTTAAAAAGTGTTCAAAAATACATAAACGAAAAACTGAATTTACAATTTCATATATTTCTTAAGATCAATTAGATTTGCTTTAGATTTAAAATAAAACAGCAGGGACTGAATAATAGAGTTCTTTGAGACTTATTTTATTTTCAAAGGTCTACATAATAAAAATGCCAATTTACTTTTATTTTTGGTCTCGATCTTCATTTTGTAAGCGAAACATGGTTAATTTAAGAATTAGCAAAAAGCAGTCCTTTTTTATTTCATTTGGATTTTCCAAAACAAATGACTAAAAAATATTTTTAAAAAACGTACATAGTTTTAATATAAATCTTTTTCAAGAAACAGACGAAGAAGCCCTCTGGAACCCCTATCCTCATAATGGCTAATTTTCGAGAAATTTTCTCAGAGTGTACATGTAATATGGGCACTTGGGCAGCAGCACTTTTGGGCCACTTGTTTCTCGAAATTGAAAACCATGAGGCGCATTTAAAAAGATGAAGTGACAACTGGCATACTGATGACGACACACAGGCGGAGGGGTCGGGGGTTTAAAAGGGAACATAGGTCCAAGGGGAGTGGGGGTTGGGGGGGCGGAGGGGGTGGAGGTGCTGTAAGTGTGTGTGGAGCGTATAAATATAACAAGTGCCAAGCGAAATATGTACATAAATAAGCCAGCGCAAAGATATGTGAGGCAGATGCAGATACAGTGGTCATTCGCCTTGAAAGATACTTTAGAATCTGTTTTTCCAAAAGTTATCTATACAGAGCTACACGGAGAAAAAAACGGAACAATATGGAACTGATATTGTTTCATATCAATTTTTGCATAACAAAATGGTACAAAATCATATATTCGAAAATATCATTTTGATATGAAAACAGATGGGGCCAAAATTTATATGAAATAATACCCGATGGATGATTATTTTTGGTATTTTTCTTTTTTAATTGATCCTTTAAAGTATCAAAATTACATTAAAATTACGAAGTATTTTTTAAAATATTTTTGAAAACGGATTTATTAACTGAATTTTTATTGATGTAAATCCTTTGAGTTTCTTAAAAATATACTCAAAGATCTATTATATGGATATTATTTTTAGATTTTTAATTAAGTTTATTATGATTTTTTGCCGGATCATGGAAGATAGTCGAATATATTTAGCATTTCGAATGTCTTTCACATTTGGTGCTCCACTGTAGCCCTTTTGTCTATTATCGCCGTTTCTGTGTCTGTTTCTACCACTGCATTTTTGCATTTCTGCACTTCCAGCAGCTGCGACTAATTGTTGAAAGAAAAAAATGTATTAAATAAAAAAAATAGAACGGGATGAAGGGAGGGAAGGGACGAAGAGAAGAGAGGCAGAGCAGAAGAAGTGGGGACAAAAGCGGGCAGGATGCGAAGGACTTGTTCGCGCTGACTGCGAAAAGTGCAACAAACTTTGACAAAATAAAACGAAAATCCCGCCCAAAGGTGGGTCGGAAGAGTGGGCGTGGCAAGGGGGCGGCGAGCAAATGAAGCGCCCTTTTTGCAACTTCAAATCGCAAACCCACACAGCTGGAGATTCTCGCACACATGTGGAAAAACGCGACTTGCAAAAAAAGAAGAAAAAAATGAAGACTGCATTGAAATTGAAGCACTCTCATTAGGAAGAAGAAGCAGAAGTTGCAGCAGAAGAAGACGAGGAAGAAGAAGCTGAAACCGCAGCAAAAATAATACCAAGTTTTCGATGGCGTAGGCAAAAAAGAAAATGAAAAAGTTGGGCTTGTTTTAGGAAATGCAACAAATTGAATAAATTCGACTTTGAAGCACTAACTAAAAGCGTAATATAATTTAATTTTAAAGTAGGCTTTTGAAATTGAGATTTTAAAATATAAACTGTATATTGAGATCGAGCCCAAAAGGTATAATAAAAATATAAAAACTTCATAGGTGACGGAAAAAAAAACCGAAAATAATTAGGTTTTAAAATCGCATTTATTTAATTTCTAAATAAGGGTTTCAATCCTTTTGATAATTCTAAATTTCCGTTTCAGCGATAGAATTTTTATATTATTATTACTTTTTTTTTTTAAATTCACACTAGAAGTAAATAATATAGTTTTTTTTTAGGAAATGAAATATATAAATAGTTCTAAAAAAGGCCACGTATGCCAAACAAATATTTAAAATTTTACAATAAATCAGATCAACGAAATTAAAAATTGTTAACGCAACCTCATTTTTTTTACCTTATTTGCGGTTTGCACCGGCCAATTCTTCAAAAAGCATTAAATTTATTGAAGATTCAACAAAACTGAGAACTTTGACTTAATATTTTCCAATAAGTACACTGGTAAACAAGCAATATTTTGAAACAGCCACGTAGCTTACAAAAAAAAACAAAATCGAAAATGCCGCAATAAAGCAGAGATAATAAATATTACAATGCCTACGAACAGTTTCCCAAAAGTGATTAGTTTAGCGGTATATTTACTTGATTTGTTGTTGCGGCGGTGGATTCTTCTTCATTAATCATAGCTATCAGTGTGGGGCAACAACAATAACGACAACAACAACAACAACCGCCGTCTCTCTCTGTCCCTGTCACACGCACTCCTGTTGTTGTTGCTGTCTCGCTTTTCGAAAAGGAGTTGTTGCTACGTTGTTGTTGCTGCTTCTGCTATTATTATTATTGTTGTTTGCACTTGTTGTATTTTCGTCACACAATCAAACACACGCACACAATGTTGCACGTTGCGTGTGCTCTTCTTCTTCCCGCGCCGCTTCCTCTTCCGCCCCCTTTCGGCAGAAGAAGAATCGTAAACAAATGCAGCGCACCAACACTTCGTCACTCGACGGCACTCTTTTCAGTTTTGTTTGCAAAAAAATAATCCGAATTGCACTTTTCGCGACGACCGACAAACGTTTTTGTTGTTTGCGAGCAGAGTGTTCGAGGTGGAGAAACATTCGATGTTTTAAAATTGTCTATGTTTTTCGATGTTTTTGCCACAATCGATGATTTTTTGCCTCAATCGATGTTTTTGTCCCATCACCAAAAACGTAAGTGTCAAAACGTAAGCAAACGTAAGTGTCAGTTGTACGTAACGCCGGCTCACCGTCATTTACTCAGAGAGAGAGAGAGAGAGGGAGAGCGGCGATCGCTGTTAGAGGTGGAGAAACACCGATGTTTTTTGCCCCAATCGATGTTTTTGTTCATCACCAAGAAACGTAAGTGTCGAAACGTAAGCATTAACTCAGAGAGGAGAGAGTAACACGCCATCTACAACAGCTCTGTTACCACCACCAATGGATCGGAACACGGATAGGGGCTAAGCGGTGACTGCAACCGGCATGTCCATGAATTTGCTTTTCCGTAGATCTAAGCAAATTGTATAAGAAAAAAATATGTATTGCAACGGAATTTAAAAAAAACGAGGACGGAAGCTAACTTCGGCAAAAAATTTGGAAACATCGATGTTTCATCGGCGCCTCCACATCGATAGTCTGGCACAAGTAGGCTCCGATAGTTTTAGGCTTAAAAATAAATTGGAATGTGGTGGGTAACTCCGCTAAAATGGCAGAGCATCGCCTGGCCACGCCACCTATCGGGAAAGTGCGAAACGACAGAGATATTTTCATAGGTGGCGTTTATAAAGATGTATTTCTAAAGTGTATGTAAGTTTCTTCTTTCGCCTCATAGGTGACGCCAGTACACTTTAAAATATGGCAAAGTATATTTGATGGAGATATATAAAACTTTGATTGCGCATAACATTTTAATAAATGGTTCGATTTGAAAAATGTGTTCTACTTATCGTTAGGTATTTATAAACCCAACAAAATTGCCTTTATACAACTCCAAAATCTTTAAAAATGTGGGCGCCAGACCCTTTTTATAATCGTTAAATTTGCGCTGCGTAGGAAGCCCAAAAATATGTGTGGGTAATCCCAACTTTCTAGCTTTTGTAGCTGTTACATACTTTTACTCTACGAGTAACAGGTATAAAAAGCGTTTTATGAAATCTTTTGATAACCGCGATATCTGGCTGAGTTTTACGAGTACGCGAGTGCAAATAGTTAATTATGCTATAAGTAGACTTCAATTTATGGCCAGAAATCAACCGATTGTTGCCAATTGATAACCGATATGATAGCACAAAAAAACACACATATAAGTAGTACAAATTCCCGACATCCGCGATAGCTCGAAATTTCCATGACATCCACAGGGAGCCATTATCACCGAAATTCTTTATGAATGGGGGACTTTTTTCGATTACTAAGTTAAGATTACACCGAATCATGTCAATAGGGTATAAATAAATTTACATAACCTAATGACTAACATTTTTCAGTAAATTTAAACTAAATTGTGGGCTAAAAATCGTCTCAACCCATTTGATCTCTACTTTCTGATCTTTACATAATTATTATAATAAATAGGTAGTTATTAATATTCCGTTTAGAAGCATTTTTGTTTTAGTTTAAAAAAAGCTTTTTATTCTGGGATACAAAAAATTAAAAAAATTAGATCTTCTCTATATAATTATTATAATAAATAGTTATTAATATTCTGTTTTGAAACATTTTTGTTTTAGTTTAAAAAAAGTTTTTATTCGGGGATACAAAAAATTAAAAAAAAATTAGATCTTCTCTATATAATTATTATAATAAATAGTTATTAATATTCCGTTTAGAAGCATTTTTGTTTTAGTTTAAAAAAGTTTTTTATTCTGGGATACAAAAAATTAAAAAAAAAGGAAGTACAACTAAAGGCCCCCTTAGATCTTCTCTATATAATTATTCAAATAAATAGTTATTAATATTCCGTTTAGAAGCATTTTTGTTTTAATTTAAAAAAAGTTTTTATTCTGGGATACAAAAAATTGAAAAAAAAGGAAAGTACAGCTATAGGACCCCTAAATCCTCACCAGAACCTCGTAGTTCTCCAGACGCACCTCCTCGCCGCCGAAGGGGATGTAGATGCAGCCGTGCGAGGGATGGATCTTGCCCACGCTCAGGCTGTCGCAGTAGATGGCCCGGCCCACATAGAGGGCCTCCCCGTCGACATTCGGTCCGGAGGACAGGGCGCCGGGGGCCACGTTGCCATGGGAGGCGGGGACCCAACGGAAGCCGGATCCGGTGAGCACCTGGACATCGGTGAGCTCGTGCTCCGCCTGGGCGTAGGCGGCATAGGCCTTGCCCTTCGCGGGCACCACCTTGGCGGGCAGCAGGTCCCCGTTCCGGAAGACCCTGCCCACATAGATGGTATCCCCGTTGGAATCGTGGCCCGCCAGCAAAGCGCCGTCTGGGATATTCGTGGCCGTCGTGTCGATCCAACGCTCCGGCTGACTGAGCACCTCGTAGCTGAAGATCTTGACCTCATCCGAATCGTAGGGGATGTACAGGCAGCCGTGGGAGGGATGCACCTTGCCCACGGTCAGGCTGCCGGCATGATAGCCTCGGCCCGCGTACAAGTACTCCCCGTCGACATTGCGACCCACTTTGACGGCGCCCGGCGGCACCTCGCCGTTCTCCGCCGGCAGCCACTCGTAGTTGTAGCCGGAGAGGACCTCGTAGTTCTCCAGCTCGTGCTCCTCGCGCGCATACGCCACGTAGGCCTTGCCCTTGTTCGGGATCACCTTCGCCGGCAGCATGTCGTTGTGGAAGAAGGCGCGGCCCACGAAGATGGTGTCCCCGTCGGAATCGTGGCCAGCCACCACGGCGTTCGGCGGCACGACGCCGTTGCTAAAGTGCATCCACTTGTGGTCTAGGGGAAGTAGAATAATAAATTAAATAAATTGAAAAATGATTATAATTGTTAAAACAAATTTAAATTTAATATTTGGTTCATTGCTTTAAAAATTCACGTTTAAAACATGTGCTAAGAAAACTAGATGATTTCTTCTCACTTTTTTGAGAGCAACTGTTCTTGAAATCAAGAGTAAGGTGTTTCAAAGAAAGTTAATTTGAAAACATAATAATTAGGTATGATTTTTTAGATGAAACTAGAACGATGTTTAATAGCACTTTTAAAAAGAAAAATAAAACAGAAAAATATTATATTTTTAAAATTGTTTTAAATAAATAGCTTAAGAAAACCAAGCACAAGTTATAAAAAAAATGTAGGTAATTTCAAAGCACTAGGTACTTTTTAGTTAAATAAAAGTAAAAGTTTTTAGTGATATTTATTATTTAAATTTTACAATTCAGTCACAGAGTTTACCTATAAAAAGCATAGGTATAATAACAGCTTATGACAAGGGCCTTAAAATGATTAATTATCTGGCTGGTCAAATGGTTTCTTGTTAAGTTCGACTTGATTACCTGTCATTTTCTTGTCCGTTCTGCAGCAGCTCCGACTTCCAACTGAGGAGGTGGTCGGTTTAATGGTCTTTCCATGTTTCCGCCCGATGTCGTCGTCGATAGGGCTTATCGGGAACACACATGCCTCCCGATAAGGGACCCAACCTTCGGTGACTCAGATCTTGTAAAGCGCTTGTTAAAATTCCCAGCGATTGGCCAATTCGGCGAAAAATAGGGCTTAAAGGGCACTGATAATATTAGCATAGGAAATAAAAAAAAATAGTTGAAGTGTGTAAGAAAGTGTATTTTAAAAATAAATAAATAAAATAAATTATACGAATTTATTCCAAAAAAGTATACAAATATTTACGCGTATAGTTATTTATTTATTTTTAAATATTTACTTCACTGCTTTTTAATATATAAACAAAATATTATGTATACGCAACTCTTTAGTTTGAAATAGCAGTGTGACCATTTTTTTGTTGTATTTTTCGTGTGCCACCTTTCGAGTGGCCCACATCCTTATATCTCCATTTATCCAACCAATTTTCCCCCTTTGAACCATCGCAGGGAATCGCTTGATCCTTTATTTATCCCCCTTCCCCGCTTTCCCCTTCGGACTTTCTTGCATCCGCTTTTCCACTTTTCCGCATTTCCACTCGTCCACGCACTCCACTTATTTAGTGGTCGCTGGCTTTGCATTTCGTTCTCCTTTTGTTTTCCCACCATTGTTGCCTTTCAATGATTTTTCTTGTTTTCCCTTTCGAGTGGATCTCAGTTTTTGTTTGCGTTTTCGCCCATTTACAACTATTTGAACAAGGGATAAAAAGTGGGGAGCTCCCCACTGAAAAAGTTAAGGGGGGTCGTCGGTGAAATTGCTGTGCAACGTTTGCACCTGTTTTCAGTGGCTTGCCAATTCCAAGGGGGGTTTAAAGGAGGGTTGTTATTATTAAGCTTTGAGCGAGTTCCTGGGGATCCATCGGGCTTTCCCACGGTCTTTCTCCTCTCCCTTCAAGCAAACCAATTAGGAAGTCAAACTTGGCCTTTATGCCGGGTAAGTAAATAGCATTTTCGGAAATTTGTTGCTGCAGATTAAAATTCTTCAAATCAACTTAAAGGGTTTTTTGTGTTACTTTTTTGTAAAATGTAGTTAAACAATACTTTTTTGCGTCGGTTATTTCTATAATAAATCGTAACTGGTAATGGTCATAATGTTTTAATAAAAATAAGTCGAATGCATTTTTCTCGCTCACCTGTTCCCTTTACTCCTTACCAAGTTTTATACCATTTTTAGCCAATTTTTACCCCATTAGTTTCTCCCCCATTTCCCCGTTTAACCAACTTAATTTTGCCTAATACATTTTAATCATTTCCACAGTGCCCCGAACTAAATTCCCGCCTTCATTAACATTAACCCCTTGCTGCCCAGCCCATCTATCTGTCACGCTTTCCGCTCTCGATTCGCATCCGTCCGCCATTCTGCTTCTCCTTTTTTGCTTGGGCTTTTCTATACACTTGGTCACAAAAGTTAGTTCCCAATATTATCAGCAAATTGGGCTATTTTAAAAAATTACAGCTTTGTTTTTTCAGCTCTTTGAAATTTTTTGTTTTATTTTTGAATGCATTAGAGAATATTTGTTTTATAATTTTTACAATTTATTCTAGGAAAATACATTTATATTTTATATTTTAAATTATAGTTTCAAAATAATCTTTAATCAAATAGAAAAAATTTAAAAATCATGTCTTCAGCTCTTTAGAATTTGTTCTTTTATTTTTGCTTGCATTAGAGAATATTTATTTTATAATATATACAGTTTATTCTAGAAAAGTACATTTATATTTTTTATTTAAAATTTTAAATAATTTCTTCTTTAATCAGTTTAAGTTTATATTAATTAACAGTCATTTTATAACGAAACTATATCCCATTGAAAGTGAATTTTTGAGGAACTGTACTGTGTTCTCTTTTTCCCAATGACTTTTCTATTGCCGGGCCAGTTGCAGTCGCGGTTTCGCTTTTTGGCCACACAATGCGGCACTTTTTCGAGGGTAGCCAGGGGCGGCAGAAGGGGGTAGAAAGGGGGCAGGGGCCTTAAGGCTAAATGCATCCCGGGTTTTCGGGGGGGCATGGCCCGGGGGTCAGACGCACACATATTCGCACTGTCTAGTCGGTCGCCGGTCACTCACGTTGGTCTGCGGTTGCGACGAGTCTGGCTTTGGGTTTAGGATCCTCCTCCCCCGACCTCCTCTGCCATATCGGCTAATGGATACACGAGCCCCCTTTGAACCCCGCCCACGAAAAACTAGAAACATCAACAAACCAAAGCCAACCAAAATGTAGAGCATTCAGTGGATTTAATGGTGCGTTGTGCCGTACTTTAAGAAGGTCCAGCTTTAAAATGCGGCCAGGGGCGCAGAAGGGGGGCTAGAAGCAGAGAGCACCTAATGGCAGTCATCTGGTAATACGTAATTAGGGGCGGAGTTTCAGCTGCAGCCACAGCTTAAAGTCTCATCAACGAGTCCGGCAATTTCAATTGTTGCCCAGGACTTTTTGCAATTGGCATAACCAATGAGGCGGCGGTTAAGGGGGGTTAAAGGGAGGTTTTAAAGGGGGGCTCTTAAGGGAGGCCGGAAATGCTGGGGAGTCACTAAGCTGCAGTGTGTGTAGCCTGGGCCATTTATGATTTGTGAAAAAGTTTCGTGGGCACCGAGGAGTGCGGTTTCATTACCAGTAACGCCCCCTCTACGTCCCTGTTTAACCCCCTTCTAGCCCCCCTTCAGCAGCAACTTTCATCCGCCAGCTGGGTGAATTAGTTGCAGGAAGTGGTTTAAGGACAGAACTATCGTGAATTCAAGCCCCATAATCAAAAATCGAAACATTTTGTAGATTTAAAGCCAGCTAAAGGTGTATAAATTTTCCATTTTATTTTTCAAAAAATAACAGCTTATGGTTGCCAATAAAAAATGTGTAGTAATATATAAATACATTTTTCAAACACCCTTTTAATCTTTTGGCCTAAAACAAATCATGGTGAACTCACTATTTACTTATTAGTTTTTTTATGGTTTTTTTTTAAATAATATTTTTAACGATTATCTTTTTAATATGTTCTCTATGACTCTTAATTTTAAGACCGGCTCAACATTTGGAAAATATGAATCCGTCGGTTAGCCTCTTGGCAGAGCTTGAGAAACCATTTTGCTGAGTTTGAGCAATACTGAAATGCTGTTGCACTGACTAATCGCCGCTTGAAAGGATCAAAATGCCGGCTGCCTTTTTGGAGGATCCACCAATCTCGGCACAAAAGGGAACTTTTAATTATACACCGCCCCGCCGGCCTGCATTCACTCTACTCTACCGCTTTTCCGGGCATATCCTGCCAGTTTCCATTTCCCGGCTCATTGCGAAACTTCTCAGCTCAACTTAAAAGGCAAGTGGGGGGTGGGAAAGTGGTAAAGTGGAGTGGAAAATCGGGTGGGGGATGTGGCATTTTACAGCTTGATTTCCATTTGCCCATAGAGCTCATTGTTTGTTTGCTGCCCTCTCTTGGCTTTTCCATGATTTTCCATGGCCAAGATTCAACTGGTGGCGGTTGAACAGAAATAAAGGATAATAATAATTTAATCTTTTTATTTTTTAAGCCAATAGGTTGGTTTATTTTGTTTTCAACTTAAAAAATTTAATGAAATTTAGTATATTACAATTTTATTTATTTGAAAAATATTTTTTTAATAGGTTTTCTATTAATTCTTAAAACATTTGATATATTTATGATTTATATAAGTTTTAAATAAATTAATAATTATATTTATTGAAATAATATTTTTATTTTTTCAAATTATTTGCCATTCATTATACCCGTTACTCGTAGAGTAAAAGGGTATATTAGATTCGTGCAAAAGTATGTAACAGGTAGAAGGAAGCGTTTCCGACCCTATAAACTATATATATTCTTGATCAGGATCACTAGCCGAGTCGATCTAGCCATGTCCGTCTGTCCGTCTGTCCGTCTGTCTGTCCGTCTGTCCGTCTGTCTGTCTGTATGAACGCTGAGATCTCGGAAACTATAAAAGCTAGAAGATTGACATTTTGCATGCAGATCCTAGGAGTTCCTACGCAGCGCAAGTTTGTTTCAAAAGGGTGCCACGCCCCCTCTAACGCCCACAACCGCTTATATACGATTTTAAAAATTTCAATATTTCTAAAAAGTAAAAATGCAGTTTTATTGTGGTTATAAATGCCTATCGAAATGTAGAAGAAATTTTTTAAATCGGACCATACGTTAAAAAGTTACGGCGGATCAAAGTTTTTATCTCCCTCTTCTTCGCACTCCCTTTAGCTGAGTAACGGGTATCTGATAGTCGGGGCACCCGACTATAGCGTTCTCTCTTGTTTTGTTTTCTATTTAAGTAAAGCAGCTTTTATTTGTACCTCTAATTTTAAATTAATTCCTAATATATTCATATATTTTATTTGCCTATTAAGTAAACTAAATGTTATTTGTATCATTGTTATACCCGTTACTCGTAGAGTAAAAGGGTATATTAGATTCGTGCAAAAGTATGTAACAGCTAGAAGGAAGCGTTTCCGACCCCATAAAGTATATATATTCTTGATCAGGGGCACTAGCCGAGTCGATCTAGCCATGTCCGTCTGTCCGTCTGTCTGTCTGTCTGTCTGTCTGTCTGTCTGTCTGTCTGTCTGTCTGTCTGTCCGTCTGTATGAACGCTGAGATCTCAGAAACTACAAAAGCTAGGAGGTTGAGATTTCCCACACATATTCTTTGGCTTCCTACGCAGCGCAAGTTTATTTTAGCCGAGCGCCACGCCCTCTCTAACGCCCACAATCGCCCACTAACGATTTTAAAATGGGTCCTGCGCCCACATCTTTAAAGATTTCCGAGAAGTATAAATGCAATTTTGTTGTGTATATTTATACCTATCGAAATGTAGAAGACATTTTTCAAATCGGACGATTCATTAAAAAGTTATACGCAATCAAATCAATACGCAATTAGCTGAGTTACGATTATTAGTCGGGACACCAACCCGAGTACAGCGTTCGAACTCTCTTTAGCTGAGTGACGGGTATTAGATAGTCGGGACACCAACCCGACTATAGCGTTCTCTCTTGTTTTTGTTCTACAAATAAGCATATTTCCTGTAATTAGCCGAACTCCTCCTCCCATTTAAGACTCCCCCTTTCCCAACCTCCTTGTTAACCCTTTAACAACGTCAGTGGCAATAAAAGACAAGTTTATTGCCGGCACCCCCATGAATATTTGTCTTTGTAGCTCAACTTTTTGTCCCCAAGGAGCAATCGCCAAAATTGTGTTTCATTGTTGTTTATTTCTTTCGCAGCTAGTTTGTAGTTGTAGTAGTTCAAACGCAAAAAAAAGAAAAAGTTTAGAAATAAAAAAGGGATTAATACAGTTTACGGGAAAGTTTGGGGGTTAGGGTTCAAAAATTGGGTTCGCTTTCACATATGTGGCCCATATTGAGTACTTTTTGATGATTTGACACCCTAAGAAACTTCCTACTCTCACTTTGAGTTTATTCATTTCATTCCTTTTTTTCATTTCATTCGTATTGGAAATTGTATTATTTACGTAAGTTTGTTTTTTATTTCAATATTATCGCTCGGTTTTCAATGTCTTAAACATTTCTTTTAAACTTTCTACTCTGACTTTAAGTTTTGATCATTTGCTTTTCATTCCTTTTATTTATTTTATTCGAAATGGTATTATTATTATTTAGGTAATCTATTTTTCAAAATTTTCCCATGTTTTTTAATGTACTAAAATTATTTGATCAACTTTTTTGTAACATTTTGCCCGTAAAATATATAAGTGTATATTACAGTTTATTTATTTTCATTTAATTCACTTTATTCATTTCAATCGAATTTTGATTTAAATATTTTTTTCTTTACAAAATATTGCCAGTTAAATATATTAAAAAAAAACATTAAATTAAAACCACATTAGACGGAATTTGGTCTTAAAGCTGACCGCTCAGTTCGTCGTCGAAATCGGAGGTGGGTGGCGTGTCCTTCACATCCGCCCGCACAGTGTACTCCTTCTCGTTGACACTGTAGTAGATGTTGAAGTACCTGCCCGACTGGATCCTCATGGCTAAATAGCCGCTCTGTCCGAGATCCCTGGTGATCTTCTGGTACAACACATGGCCACTGCTCAGGATCACCCGCACCTCTTGCGAGCCATCGTCGTTTTTGCGGGCATTCTGCCGCAGGATCTGCACCAGCTGGGTTCTCAAAGGATTCGAAATGGGCTTCAGACCCGGCAGCTGGATGAGCGGCTCACAGCGGCAGCTCAGCTTCTGGGTGAGCGGACAGCTGGCCTGGGAATTGGGGGACGAGGCGACGGGAGCCGGGGCCACGGGCGATACAGCGCCCAGTCCCAGGTTGCCCAGATTGAGGCCACCCAGGGTGCCGAAGCCGCCGTTCAGACCGCCCAGACCCAAACCGCTGATCAGATTGGGCAGCCCGCCGACCCAGGTGCCGATTATGGGCAGATTCTGGCCAAAGCCGGGCAGCCAGCCGGACTGCGGCTGCTGACTCTGGGCATTCGAGTTGGAGGCCACGGGCGTCACCACGGTAATCGGCTGCAGGGGCTGCAGGGGCGGCAGTGGCAGCGGCTGCAGCGGGGGGTTCACATTTAGGCCGTCGAAGAAAATGGGAAATTGGCCACTGGAACCAGCCAGGCTGCTCTGGCCACCATTGGCAGTCTGAAAAATAATTTTTAGAATAAGTAATACATTTTTTAGATCAATTTTTAAGATTTTGAGTGGATTCCTATACCTATCGAAATGTAGAAAAGAATTTTAAAATCGGTCCATTCCCTAAAAAGTTATAGGCACTTAATGGCATGCAAGCATTGCAAGCAGTTTACTGCTTGCGTACCTTTATCTCCCTCGCACTCCCGTTAGTTTAGTAACGGATTTTCTCTCTTGTTTTAAATGTGTTTACAAAAAAACCTATTCAGATAAAATTACTTTTTTTTTCATTTTATAATATTTTTTAAAGATTAAATTGTAATTGTAAACTTACCAATTGTCGTTTGTCCCGGCGTTCCATTGACTCCACGGTCTCCACACCACTACTCTTGGGCTTTTCAGTTGTAGTGGGCATGGGTTCCCTGGTTCTTACTGTTGTTGGTGTGGTTAAGGCCAGTCCCACAGCTATGATAGCCATAAAGACGATTAAACTCAGTTTGCTGGCCATGTTTTCTATAAATTGTTTGTATATTTTTTCAAACAAAGTTTTCGGTTTCTTGCAATCTCTGGATTGTTCTTTATCAGACTTTGCTTGGACTCGCTTTGATGTTGGGATGAGATCCCCAACCACTTATATATGATTTTTGCGCTCTCATATCCTGTCATTTCATGAAGTTCGAGTGGGCAGTAAATGAAACCAGATTTGCCAAGAATCCAAATGGTGGTTAATAAAGAATTAATTGAAGAATACAAAAACTGGATTTGCTCGCACAGAATCTGGGTCAGCATTTAATAAACCCAAAGTACTTATTTATATATCCCAGCCAAGTTCGCTCGAAATTTTAAGGGACTTCAGTTTAAGACTTAAAGCCCAATTTAATGTGGACTTACATAAATGCACAATCATTCAATAGCCATACCTGCAGGTGTCCATTAATTTTCCAAACTTCTCCAATTAATTTACCCAGCAAATACAAATACAAACAATCAATAGCTTATTTTCGCCAGGACCATCTCAGCTATCTCCTATTGTTTTCAAAATCTCCCAAAATTAATACTTCACACAATGCACATTGCTTTCAGCTAGAAGCATTCGATTCAAGGCTGCTTTCAGGGCATTATTATTTATTGAGTGACAAACCATGGGGATTCCCTTGAAAAATAATGACACTTGTTGGATTTAATAAATATAAAAACACACTTGATTTATATATATTTTTTTTTATTATTTAATTTTTTTATTTTAACAATATTTTGTACTTTTTGTTTTCTTTAAGATTATGTATTATTATTATTTAAATGATAAGACATGGGGATTCAATTTAAAAATAATGGCAATTCTTGGATTCTACAAATATAAAAACACATTTGATTTATATATATTTTTTTATTATTTATAGGAATTTATACATTATATAAACATACATACCTATAATGAGCATACAGCTGTTGACAAATTGCCTGGGGGCTTTGCCATGTCCAGCGGCCAAAAAATCAAATCAAATTAAATTTGTGCCAACAAAAAAAGAGAAGAAAAAAAGGAAACCGGAAATATGAGGCAACGGGCAGAAAATGTTTCGTTTGCATGGAAATTTCTGTGTGAGATTTTCAATTTTCCCCGAACAGAGACGAAAAGGAAACTGTAAAGAACAAGTTGCTTGACAGCCGCTTGCTGTTGCGGACTCATAAATCAAAAAGTTTTTGACAAATTGCACATTAAAGACGCGTCTTTGGTTCAATTAAATAGAAATTGAATTAAATTATAAAGCTGGCCGCCCTTGAAAATGCGACAAAATTGAAGCGAAAAAAATAAAAACCAGAATGTGATAAAAAATAAGCTGCCAAAGTGAGTCAAAAACTGTAACCGGTTTGCCGGAAAGCAAGCTATAAAAATAATAATTTACAACGTCAAATATCTTTCACGGTTTATGGAAAAGAAACCGAAAAGACAGAGAAAAATCACAAGCAGAAATATAAGAAGAAATCCATGGCATCACCAGCCATGGAAAATCTCATTATAAATTACAAAAAAAAGGCAGTAAAGAAAACCACCGAGGACATAGAAAACCAAAATAAAAGAGAATTTAAATTAAAAGCTTTAAGTTACAAAATAAAAAACCTTTCTAAATAAAAATATTTTGAAGTAACTAAACCAATGAACTTTGATCACCCCTTGAACCAACAATACCCCAAACAAATACCCATTAGCACCTTTACGAGCTCGCACACAATATGGCGATTATAAAGATTTTAACAATCCTGCACCTCAGCTCCTCACCACTTCCCATTCAAATATTCATTTACCGATTTTCATCATCTTTCGGCATTACATGATCATCATGACGTGATGCATTTTAACCCTTGTGCGGTGAAGGGGGTTAATGTTTGCTTATGTTTATAATAAACTTTTTTTATTGTTAACATTTGTTGTTAAATTAACTTTGTTTGTTTAATTATTGATGAACTGAATTTTAGTCTTTTGGTCAAGAACACTTTTGGGTTCCCAGAAACAGTAATTAAATTTTTTTTTTTTTAAATTTTAACAAATGTTATTATTTTTATTTTTTTTATTATAAGCTTTAATTTTATAAAATTTTATAAAGTAATGCTAAGCTGATAGAAGGCAACGTTGCGTATGAGCAATGTTCTTCGTTGAACATTTTGGCCAATAAATATTTGATATCACTGTGCAACATTTTTAGGGTTATAAAATGTAACCGCAATTCTGATTTCATGGGCGAAAAGAACTCATCGAAATAAGCTAAAACCCATTTGGGTTTCTCTGGCTTAGCTCGCGTTTACCTATTATAGCGAGTTAAAGTTTTACATACAAAATTTATTTGTAACGGCCATATCTTGTGAACCGTTTAAAATTTCACTATCAAGTCTTCAGTGATTATGTAGCTATGAACCCAAGGAACTTAATTGACTAATGGCTATTGCGAAGACGTACACCTAGCGCGTTAAAAATCGAAAAATTAAGCAAATTTGTTTATTAACGCGCTAGGTATACTAGGTGCTAAGTGCGCAAGAGTCATTTGTCAATTTAGTTCCTTGGGTTAACTAGCTACATAATCACTGAAGACTTGATAGTGAAATTTTAATCGGTTCACAAGATATGGCCGTTACAAATAAATTTTGTATGTAAAACTTTAACTCGCTATAAAAGGTAAACGCGAACTAAGCCAGCGAAACCCAAATGGGTTTAAGCTTATTTCGATGAGTTCTTTCCGCCCATGAAATCAGAATTGCGGTTACATTTTTCATGTTGCACTGTGTATTTATTCTAAAAAAATAATAAAATATTCCCAATTTGGTATCTTGCTACACATTACTGCCTTTACTGCTAATTAAAGTACAATACAACATTTACTTAAAGGCTTAATATTAGGTCCACACTGTGTTCACACACTCAAGGGTTAAAAGCCCGCTTCGACTGCTTATTATTGGCCCAGCTCCAAAGTAGCCGGCTCAAAGCCAGCTTATTTGCCGTTCTGGCGCATAACGGTATAATATATATATATATATTCCAGATGTCTAAAGTGCAGCTGATAATGACGATGATGATTCAGTCAACTCGAATTCAGCTGCAGCGAGCGGGAGCGAGCCTTTGATTCGTATAAATACAAGTCCGGGCCTTTTGGCAGCGTGCAAAAGGCAAAAGGAAAAGCGCCCGCAGACATGTCATCAAACAGAATCCGGCTGCAACTGCTGCTGCTGGCGGCCACACTAATCCCCCTGCTGCAGGCCGGGATAGTTAGGGATCCTCCGTACTTGGATTCGGATTCGGATTCGGATTCGAATACGGACACCACCACCGCCCCCCTGGACCCGCAGGAGCAGCTGGAATCGGAATCGGAATCGGAATCGGAGACGGCAGCTCCTGAGTCCTCCGCTCAAGTGGATGGCCGACGCATCGACTGCAAATTGACTTTCGATGCGGCGACAATGGACTCGTTAGGCTGCCACAATGAGGGGGCGCGGCAGAGGTCGGGTAATAAGCCCGAGGAGGTGGCGGAAAATCCGGAATGGCAGCGCCACTTGAAGTCCCCGGACAGCCAGCCCATCTATGAATTACAATTGGTTGTTTGGCCCAGTGACATCGAGGATGGTGATGACTTTAGTCCGCCGCTGGCCACCACAACTAGCACCACTAGCACCACCCCGAGGACCACTAGCACCACTAGCACCACCCTGAAACCCACCCAAATTGGGACACCTATTGAGCAAATATGGCCATTGTACGAGGATCAATTGGTCGTATTTCCGCAAATGGACTTTGAAGAGGAGAATCTTGATTATTTCTTCGACGAAGTGCCACCGTCCACTTCACCGCCCACCACTGGGCGACCGGTGACCACCAGCCCCCATCCGACGGGCACGCCCACTCCCACGCCCATTTATGTGGTGCAAAACTATCATCTCATACACACCAACGGCACCGAGGAATACAAGTAAGTTGGCCAAAAGAAAATCAATTAAAATATAAAATTAAATACTTATATTAAATCCGATTTTTGGCAATTTTTGGTATAAACTAAACTAAACATTTTCTAAATTATTATAAAAAGTAGATTTATAAACTCTAGATTTATTTCTTTAAACATAGTTTTTTTTCGTTCCATCTAGATTATTTAATAAATTTTTAGCAATACGTTTTTAAGATATTTTAAATCCAATACAACAAGTAATCTTTTGGTTACATTAATAGTTAAATAGGTTTGAATAATTTTAACTAAACTAGTTTGAAACGCTTAGGATTAAATATATTTTTTTATTTTTAGAATTAATATTAGTTTTTATTTTAAAGTTTTTTTTTGCCCAACCTTAACTTAACCATTTTCTCCAAATCCCAGATTGGTGATGAGCAATGGGTTGGTGAACTACAAGAAGCTTTACACCAAGAAGGTGGGTGACCAGGTGGTCAACGTGCAGGAGGGCTACAACTCAGTGCCCATTCCAGGGCCCAAGAACCAAATCCAGACGCAGTACTTCATTGCCGACGAGCGGGGCTACAATGTCTATAGAAGTGAGTAGTCTGCCCGTCCAGGGTTGCCATCAATAGTGATTGTATATTCCACTTCCCCGCCCCCAACAGTCGAGCTGCACACCCATCAGCCAGGGTTGCCCAAACAATTGCATTACAAAGCCACAAAAGCGACCAATATGTGAGAGAGGATGAGCAGGATTTCCAAATGGCGGACACAGTGGCCTCAGCGCAATAAATAAACGAATATTTTTTTCTTTTTTTTTTAACTTATATTAGTTTATTAAGTTCTGAATAAATTTAAAAGAAAACTTGCGTTAATGTTTGTTAATTATATTTTCTTTACTGTATTTGTAATGGATTTCTTTAGTTTTTAAACTAGGCAAAAGGTATTTATTAAAAATAATTAGGTTCTGTTTCAAGACTATACGACAACAGGTTATTTTTTGTCTATCTGTTCTATAAAGTATTTTTTTATGAATTTGAGAAAAATATATATATTATGGAGCTGATTTATCTTAAATATGACTCTTTTAGTTTTTTTTAAGAACGCAAAAAATCTAGGCTAACAACCAAAGGTTAATGGTTGTTTCAGAAATCGTTTTTAGTTTTTATATAATGGCAAGTGATCTAAATAGTGAACGCATAGTTTTAATATAGACCTTATTATATTATTTACATAAGTATATCATTTTGGAAAACTATTAATTATATTATTGTTAAATAATATATCAAAAATGACTAAAACGGCCTTTTTTGTAAATTCTGTTATCCGATTCCATTTTAAAATTTTAGTTGTACAATCTCTTTTTTTGTTTTTCATTTATATTTCACATTTATTGTGACCCAATGTCCACTATGTCTGCGGCAAACGAATGGCGAAATAAAATGTAATGCCCACAAAATGATTTGCTGTATTTTTTTGTTTGTCGCTCTTGGTGTTATATATTATTTTTTTTGCTGTTTTTGCGATTGCTGGCAGTGGTGATCTGTCTATATGTATTTTGTTTTCACTATTTTTATTTCACCAGATTTCGGTTGTTGTTGCTTTGCCTGATTCCTATTCTATTTGCTGTTGCTTTCTCAATCGCAGTGTTGCTGATTGCCATCCTTGGTTGCTGCTGCTGCTGTTCATGTTGCTGCTGCACTGAGAGAAAAGACGAAAGTATTTAAAATCAAACTGTTTTTATTTAAATTGGTTTACTTGGAACCACAGTACCAAAGTTTTTGGTAAAGGACATATATAAAATGTCATATTTATTGTCTATCTAAACTAAGTAAATATTTGTTATATAAAAAAGGTGAGTATTGTTGATTTATCCATTTACCGATCCTTGAATCGATTTGGATTTTTCTGTGTGCTTGTTGTTTTGCCACTTGAAAACCCCTGGGCAGTTGTGGGTTAAGGGCTGGGGTAAGGGGGCAAGGATGATGCTGATGATGCCATTTAGATGCATATCAAAGCATTTCACTTTTGCCCAATCCTTTTGGCATTTTTGCATATGTATGTATTTATTTATTTATTTATTTTGTTTATTTACTTTCTTGCCTTCTGCCGCCGCTGCTGGCAATGTCTTTGTTGTTTCTTTCAATTGTAGTTTATGGATTTTCTTTGCCTCGATTCGTTTCTTTCCTCGCCCTATAAACTCTTGAATTTCCCCTGTTTGTTGTTTATGCCGCAAAGTTTTCTTGGTCCTTGGGTGTCAGCCTGTTGGCAGCTGTGCAAAGTTTTTTGGGTCTTGGGTCTTATGATTATTTAAATTCATGTTCGACCTTACTTACTTTATAGGCCCGAATCCCGAATGCGAATCCCGAATCCCAATGATTTTCACTAAATATGTATTTAAAAGAAAGAAAGGCTCCAAGGGCTTGCAATTAAATCGAACACGAATTTTCCATTCTTATCATCTGTAACTGTGTTTCGCCCCATTTACTGTAAATTGAGAAACTATTTATACTAAGGGTGTTCGGGCGGGGTGAGGACGTCTCTCTGCACTTCGTCTATTTTTAACCCTTTAATGGAAACTTGTAGTTGGATTAAAGGCAGGTATTTTGGTATTTTTTGTTATTGTAAATGATTTTTTAAACCCCCTTTAAATGGTTTAATTTAAAATATAAAACTAGTAATATTTATAGAACTTTTTTATTGTTTAATATTTAATGAAAAAATAATTAAAAGACAATTTTTTTAAATTATTTAATTTGGAAGTATTGAACTTTGTAACATAAATCCCACTTTATTATGTATTATATTTTTTGTTGGCCCTAAATTATTGGCAGTGACCCAGAAAATATCTGAAAATAATGAGACAACTATTACATTGTGGTCTGCAAGGGGTTAAATGTCCCGGGGCTGCCACCTCCTGCTTCTTCTTCTTGTTCACCTATTCTTCTTCTTCTTGTAGAGCTTAACCTTGTTTCGGTTGGGGTTTATTTTTCAGTTTCCAGCTCGTATATCCGTTCCGTGTCGTCTTGGCCGTACGTCGTTCGTTTTACGGCCTTTGTAATTATCACTTTAATGAACTTTGCTAGTTTGATAGCGAACCTCGCCAAAGGTAGCGCCCCGCAATGGGGCCAATGAGCGAGATAGCTATCCCCGGGGTGAGAGAGACGGCACATAAGGGAGCAGAAAGAGAGGGGGCGATTGCAAGGACGAAGCTACGTGCAGAAACGGCTTTCTCCTTTTTCCTTTCTCCTCCCAGCGCAACGCCATTGTGTGCCTTTGGTTTTTATTAAGGAATAAAATTAGTGAGCGCGTGCCGGGAACGCCAAAAATGCCAGTTGCAGTTCGTCCTCTGCCGCCTTTCGTCCTGTCGTCCTTTCGTCCCTTCTCCCCCCCTTCCACCCTCCTCGACTCCTCCATCCGGGCAAAAGGAAACGGAAGCAGCGGCGAAAGTCGCGGGAGCACAGAAAGAAAACAGTTTAAGTGGGCCTTTTATTAACTAACTAATGACTGCCAATTGTTGTCGTTTTTTATATTTATAAGACAGAAAAACACGGCTAAATGTTAGTTTATATAATAATTCAATAAAATAGGTTTAAACCAAAACTGATTCATTTACAAGATAAAAAGAAGATTAAATAAATATTTTGTAAATTATTTATATTATTTTTATATTTTGTACTCTTTGTGAATTTAAAATAATTATTTAAATATATTACAAAAATTGTGGTACATTATTTTTTTTGTTCATTAATTTTTATAGATTTTTTTTTGTTTTGTTTTGTTTTTTAAGCTCGCCTGTAAATTTTACTTTATAGCCGAACATTTTAAAATGTTAAAACCTTAATATTTTTATATATTTTATGAGTTTAGACATTTTGACTTTTTATGAATTGAAAATATAAAATATTTATTTCTTTATTTATATTATAAAAATATACATTTAAACTACTACAGCATTTTTTCAGTGCTTTTCAAGCATGGCAAGTTTAAGTTGAGGCAGAAACGGTGACTGCAACAGAGGCCGAAAGTTATGCGAAGCGAATGTGCGCAAAATAATGCAAGATAAACGCGCCAATTTCCAGAAGAACAAAAATAGCAAACACTTTTGCAGGCAGAAGAATTGTGAAACCAATTGTGGGGCTAAATGAAGGAAAGCCACTGATGAAGCACCGAAAAAAAAGTATACAAAATGTTAACTAAGGATTAAGAATTATTTTAAATTATTATAGATTAGTTTAGTTGCATAACAAATTAATTGCAATTCGAGGACTGTAATTAAAAGTAAAGAAATTTAATTGAATGCATATATTTTGCCAAATAATTTATGTGTGAAACCAAATTATCTAATCTAATTTACTGACATGCAATTAATTGCTGCAATTTTTTTGGCAAAATTTAATGTGAGGATTAATTAACGGGCGATTACACAAGAATCACTCTTAAATCAGCCGAATGCAGCATTACATCGCGGCAACCGAAATAAAACCCAAAACCCAAAAGTGTGAATGTGCGATGCGAAATGGAAAAGCCCCGGAAAAGCGGTCGAGCAATGGAAATGGCTGCAAAAATACAAATTGAAATGCAGCAAGTCGCCTTCCTTGTCGTGGTTTATTTTCCAGCGCCACGGCAATTAATCATAAAAGCAGATTTTAACACGAGCTGACTTTATGCCATGTATAGTGGACATACATACATATATATGCATGGGCATACCATATATACCATATATGGATGATATGATGCTCTCTTCTTCTTCGCCTCGAACCCATGAAATATGCAAAATATCTTGTAATGTGTTTATCAATGTGTGCGGATGCCCGTGGAACATGGATCGGGCAATGTTCCGGACTCGTTGACTCAGTTCCAGACGATTCCCTTCCTGGGCCAGCAAAATAAATTCATTGAATTAACAAATAGCTTCGTGTTCATTTTAAAGCGCCGAGGAGGAACAAAGGGAAAAATACCAGAAAAAAGAAAAAAATAATATAAGCGGCAAAAAGTGAGCACATTTTATTTTTTTAATGTTTTTATGCGCGTGTAAATATATTATTATGCTGCGACTAACCTGGATATTCTGGTCGTGGGCAATGCTCTTAGTGGATTTTCGTTAAACATTTAAATAAATTCCACAGTTGTTTTGCGGCTGCAAGTTCTCTTCGTGACTTTTTTTTGTTGCCCGGCTTTTTGGTTAACAGTTTTTTCGGCTAAAGCACAAATAATTGGTGAAACTTCATTTAATATATGCCTTAAAACTGCTTAAAACGAATTCAGTTTTACGAGTACTCTCTTAATTAAGTTGACAAGAGTTTTTTTTAATATTTATGAGGGCACTTTTTTGTTTATTTAGCATTTTGTTTTTTTTTTTTTTGTAAGGCAGTAAATATATTAATTAGCAATTAGGCTTGTTAAAGCAGTGAAAACACAGTAGCAATTAATTTTGTGTTTATAAATAAAAAAAATATAATATAGAGGTTTTTATTGTAAAAAAAATATTTAAGACAGAAAAAAATTATACAGTCAAATAAAGTCAAAAGTTCGCTTGGCCAAATAAACCACGTAGCCCAAAACCCCCGAAAATTCACTCATAAACTGCTGAACACCAATTCAATTTGGAATGTTAATTCCCGGCCAGAAATTCGCCCACAATGGCTGATGAATTTAATCCGGCCCAATAAGGTAATTCCACTTACAAAGCTCGCAAAAAAAGTGTGCAAATTCGCAGGCGAGTTCATAGCATAATTTGCGGCGTGCATGCTAAAATAATGAATTTCCGCCTGCATAAACAAAGGAGTTAGTTAGGAGACAGAATCTTGGGACAACTTGCGCCTGGCAATTTCATTAGAGGTGCAAGAGTGGAGAAAATAAAAATGGAGAATGGAAAATAGAAAATTCCCACAAAGAAATGCAATTTGCCTGCACTTCATAATTGGCTGAGGGCTGCAGTGTCGTCGCCACTTTGGGTTGTTCCAGAAAGCGAATTATTTGGAGTCCGTCAAAAATACTTATTTTATTTTGCATGCCAGCGATTACATTCGTCGCTTTTCCTCATTTTTACAGATTTTTTGCCACATTTTCCGTTTTTAATGAACCCCTTTTCGGGTTCATTTGACTCCGCTAAGCCAGCCCTATGATAATTTCGTTTCCTCGTTTCGGTTGGCATTTTCTTTCGTATTTTTGTGATGGTTAACTGGCAGGACGCCGTGTCCAGTGTCCTTTTTGTGTGTGTTTGCAGGATAGCGCAGCCTTTTGCTGCGGTCGCTGATGAACTGCACACATCAACCGGAACGGCACGGCACCCACCGGCAAACAACAGCAATGTCCTTTTGGCACATCCTGCCCACACACCTGCCATGTGTCCTGCGTCCTTTGGGGGCGGGAAGGGGTCCCCCCGCTAAACGCGACTTTCGCTGCTTAAAAGCCATTTTTGCATTTTATATTTAATTTTTTTCGCCATCCTTTTTTTGTGCTCTCCCCCGACCTCATGAGGGTGTGCCGCAATGCTTATCCTTTTCTATACCCTTTGAAAATGTATTCCGCATAGTGCTTGTACCAATATCAACAATTCGATTATTTTCGATATTTTTCAAACATTGATGTTTATCGGAAACATCGATATTTAACGGAAACATCGATATTCTTTCTGTCGTTTTACAATAAAATAATTGCTTTAGATTTTATTTTTTTCCCCTAATAAAATCGATATTATCGATACGATAATGTGAAAATATCGATTTTTTCAAGCTCTAATTCTTTACCCAGAGGAGTAAAAATTTTAAACAAAAAAACCTAAATTTATAATGAACATTTTTAAAGAATCCTTTTGTTGAATTACAAAATTACAAATTACAAAAAAATACAACTAAGGATTTTCGACTTGAAAAATCCGACTTAGGGTATTCCTTTCTTCGCTTTGGCCAAATTAAATTTCGGTCCTTGCTCATTTTTCGGTGTCCTTTCCACCTCTGTTTGTTCTTCATCCTTTGGCTTTGGTTTACATTTTTTCTGTCGCTGTTTCGCTGTTTGTTGCTGTTACCGCAGCTTGCAAACATTCTGTAGCCGTTTCCTGGGAAACGCGGGAGGAAAAAGGAGGTCCATGTCCTAGTTAAACTTTGCCTGCTTTGTCACATTTGCAATATTTATTGCCTTTTGATTATTTTTCAGCCGGGCCAGAAAAAATATTTCGGTTTTTTCGAAAGGCATTTAAGATTTCGGGTGATGTGAATTTAATGGAAAAACCGGGATGGGATATGGCATTGACATTGAACTGACGGGGGAAATTTTTAAGGTCCCCGAACACTTTAATCGAGTCGAAAGTCGTTGAAGAATTTTCCCCCCTTTTTTCATCATTTTCCCTTTACTTAGTTGCTGGATTGTTACTCTCTTTAATAAGCGTCAAAGTTAACAAAGTTGCAACTTAACTTTTTCCCTTGTATTTGGCTTTATTCCCTTCTTATTTTCCATTCCATTGCCCCTTGCTCCAATCCATTTTGCCGGCTTTTTCCGGAGAGAAGATTTGTAAAGTTTCATTGATAATTTTAACGACTCCCAGCTACATGTGTCTGTCCGTTCGTCTGTCCGTTTGTCCGTTGGGGAGTCGCAAAGTCTGAAAGTCGGGATGTCGGAGTTCTGGAGGGGATTTCGAAGGGAATTGCCGGTTCGTGTTGAACTGCAAAGGCGCTTTAAGTACTTCTCAAAAGTTGGTTTTATTGTGTTTCTCTTACAATAATTCACGGACTGCGCCAGTCAGTAGTGAACTAAAGCTGAGGAAGGAACTCTAATTACCGAGGATTTAAGTTAAACTCCTTAAGTTTTCATGAATTTAAATAGGATCAATTTACCTTACCCGATGTAAATGACGAGAATTCCGAAATATCATTAAATATCACTTACTTTTAAGTATTATTCGCATTTTATTTAAAAAAAAAAATAATATTTTAAATAAATTTTTTGTAGTTCAAAGTCCGCAAAGTTTTAAGATTAGCTACAAAAATGGTCTGATTTTTTTTTACATATTTAATAATTAAAACATTTATTTTATAACAAAGAATTATTCTACATAAAACCAAAAACTGCTTATAATTACGATTTAAATACTTGTGCATAAAAAAAGCTGCTATACAAGAAGTGCATTAAGGAACCTTTGACTGGGAGCATCTACTTAGTTATTTACTAACCCAGCCCTTCTCACTTTTATTTTCTTAAGTCTCTTGGTTTTTTCCTTGAATCTATCTTGCGTTCTGTGTACCCAAGCTCCTCAATGGGAACAGTGGCAAGCCATCGAGTCAAGTGTCGAAGGCCACCAGCCACCAGCCACCTGCCCACTCCAACACCCAGTTTTCCTCCCACTTTCCACCGCCATTTTCTTTGGCTTACCAAAACCGCGAGGTGGTATTGCTTTCATTGCAAGCAAAAGCTTGCGCTTCGGCAATTTCCTTTTTAATCCAATTTTTTTTTTTTTCATTAGCAAAATATTCTCCGATTTAAGTCCTTAATTTTCTTTTTCTTTCTGACAAACTTTTGGCTTGTCTCCTTTCGGTTATTTAATCATTGTGCTTATGCAATTCTTGGGTTAATCTGATTTGAAATCAATTTCAATTTTATGAGCACACAAATCATGCTTTATTTTTTGGGGGCCTGCAATTAAGCTGGTCGACTGCAATCCGATCTCAAGATGATTTTTTATGGCCTTTTATGTTTTATGGCTTAATAGTCGGCCCACAAAAAGGTGCCAGTTGCCAGTTGAATTAATTCTGCAAGTCAGGCGAGCGTTGAACTCGTTTCTCGTTTCCCGTTTCCCAGGTATCCTGTCGGCACTTAATAAATTTATGATGAACCTTCACACACTCAAGAGCTGGGAATTTGGGATTCCATTCCATTCCATTCAGCACCATTCCGCACCATTCCATTTCATTTCAATTCGTTTCTGCACTGAGTGAAAAAATCAAAATATTTTGAATGGAGATTTAGATATAAATAAAAATAATTCAATAGCTCTTTCTTTACTTATATTTTCAGCAACATTTGGAGCTATTCTAGAACTAAACATATAAATTATTACAGACGCTTCCAGGTTTTTCTCTGTGTGCTGGACATTTTCTTGTTTTCGGTTTGGTTTGGTTTCGTTTTCGTTTCTTAATTGCCCTCGGCCCGAGAACCTCGCCAAAAATGTGTTAAAAATGCAAAAATATGGCAAGATATCCAATATACATATTTATATATATATAGCTGAAGCCCAGGGTGGCGAGGGGTTGCCCTGCACTTGTATGTTTTATTGCCCGAAACGCTTTGTGGTAAATTTATTGCCAAATTGTCGGCGACTTTCGAAAAATCGCGAAATCTTCGCAACCAAAAAAGATGCAAAAAAGCAAAAGAAGCGAAAAAATACTGGAAAGGGGCATGAAGGGGCGTGAAGCGCAAAAAACCCAAAACAGCTACAAACAACTTGAAACATCTTCAATAATAAATTCATAATTTTCGCTGCTTTGCCTTAATAAATTTTTATTATTTTTTAATTCCATTTCATTGAACACAAAAAAAAAATGTGAAAGAAATAAAAATCATAATAATATAATGCGAGTAGTCGGGGCACAAAAAAAAAAGAATAAACGATGGAGGGAGCCATAATAATAATGAGGATGGTGTGCAATTACGGGCTCTCAGTAGCGGCCCCTGCGACTCGTCCCCGCCCCCCGGGGCGTTGTCGTCGTCGTCGTCGCGGAGGGGGAGGGGAGGGGGAGGGGTTTCCATGGGACTCCAGCCGGGATTGGGATTGCGATTGGGAATTGGAAACGGAATCAGAATCGCTGGCCATGGGCACCTCGATGGAGCGCGGCAGGTTGGGATACTCTTGCGGCGTGATCGCTGTGGGCGGAACCAAATAATATAATTTAATATAAACCAGATTCGAGTGCGGGGCCATTGATGGGTTAAGGCTGCGCATAATCGGTGGTCTTATTAATTTCAGCTGATGGAGCTTTTGTTAACGGGTAGCTCGTTTACATCAATAATTTTAGCAGCGAAAACCGGGATAGTACATTTATGGGAAAATATTACATTTAAATAATATAAATTTATTTTAATAAATTTTTAATTTGAAAAACTTGTTTAAATTTTAAATTAATGATTATTGGTAATTTTATGTTGGAGAAAATATATTTAAAATATTTCTGTCCCTAGTCAGTTTTTGTTATAAATCGATAACCAATAACCAATCATACTTACACTGATTCTGCCGATAGCCAAATTGATCGGCGTTATAGAACACGGTGATGTATCGCCCGTCGGTCATCCGATACGCGTAGTAGCCCACGACCATGAGGGTCTTCACATCGTTGATCTTGGCAAAATATCCGCGCTCGTAACGCGCCGTTCCGTCGTCCAGCTCGAATCGATACTCGTAACTTCCGTCGGGATATCGGTTATCGAATCGATCCAGCAATCGCACGCTCCGCTCCTTTTCGTTACTTTCCCTGATCTGCTGGGCGGATGTGAGGTGGGTGACGGTGGCGCTCAGGAGGAAAATGGAGAGCAGGATCAGATCGGAAGTGGCCATTTTTATTTGCGGGCTATGTGAGTTATGGATGGATGGGTATATGGGGTATGTGGGGTGTTGTGTGCTGTCGCGTGTTGTTTTGTTAACAGTTTAATTCGGAAACTGTGTAACTTTGGCTTTTTATAGTCGCCACCGGGCAGGCAGTGGCGGGAGCAGAGACGTCGACTTCGACTGAGGCAGCGAATATCTTCAGCCTGAGCGGGATATCCGAAAGGGTGACTGAGAGCCAAATACACAGCTAGAAAGATTTGTAAAATATGGGTTTAGATCAGCGGTCGGCACACACATATGATGACATTTTGTTTTATATATGTGTGAGTAATTTGCACTGGGCAGCTCATTGATGTGTGTGTGCAGACTGCTGTTCTACAGTGTCCGTGAGAGGCAGTGGATGAGCAGAGCAATTCCCTATGCTCACTTAATAGGACGCTGCCGACCGCTGGTTCTGGTTAGATTCTTAATCGCTGCATAAGGGTTGTCTTTAATAAAAAAAATAAAATATAACTTCTCCTTATTATTTCCGAATTTATGTTATTTTTTTAAATTTTTATGTCAATCCCTTCTGGTTGATTTTCGATAACTCCCGTTTTTTTTGGTACCGATTTTTATATATTAGTTTAGATTTATAACACAAATTATTTCTCAGTGCATGTGAATCTCTCTGAGCCATTGCCGTCAAAAATTCTCAACGCTTAATCATACGAAAAAAATCTTAATTTCATCTACTTACACACATGCTTATCGGTGTGCCGGGCTCAATGGGTTAAAGGGGGCGGAGCAGGGGCTGGACAGGTTGCTAACTGGGCAATTTGGTTGCGCCTCTTTTGTGTGTTTGCTTTTGGCGCTGTTCGCACGGCCGCCAAATGGCTCACAATGGGTTAAGGGGGGGTTAGGCAGGGGTTTGGCAGGGGTTTGGCAGGGGTTTGGCAGGGGTTAGGGGGCGAGGGGCTAAGCAATCACAGTTGGAAACTGATACAGCAGACATAATCGATTTGCTGCCAATTGATGGATGGCCAGGGAATCGCTTCAAAGTGTGGCTCTGCTTTAATGTTGCTTGTTCCGAATGCTTGTTTATTACCCCCAAATAGGCAATGTAAATTAAGTCATTATTCTCTCATAAACTGTCAATAATAATAGATTAATATTCTATATTGGTTTAAGGATTTTATTAATGAAAGAATAAATATTTTTAAGCAAAGATCCTTTTTTAAATTTTTTAATGGAATGTGGTTTTTCTGCCATTTAACCCACGGTGCTGGGCAGCGGCTAAAAATACAACAGTTCTTGCACCCTACAATTTGGCCAGCCAGTACGTGCCGCCTGTCAACGGACTGGACTGCAAAGGCAGCGCACTACCAGGGGCGGAACATAAAAGGGGGGCCCGAATGGGGAGAAGGAGAAGGAGCAGCGAACGAGGCGAGCGTCCTGTGGCCAATTAGGGCTAATTTATGATTTCAATCATTTCTTAATTGCATTTAATGTGCAGCGATTTAGCGAACACAGGCCTGGGATCTGCTGGGATCTCCAATATGCGATGGAAGCCAGGGGCTCCGAGGCGGCTTCAAGGGGGGCAAGGGCAATCTAGGGAGCCACTTGGTCAGTCGGCCAAAGTTAATGATGTGCAATTGAGCTGGGGACCCAGGGACCCAGCAAAACTTATCGGTTAGTGCTGCTCGGGGGCAGCTGTCAATACGTCGGCACGGACTTATCGCCATTTAATTAATTTCCGCACACCTCAAAGGTCATGCCAGTGCATTAAAAATGGTTATCTCATTTATGCGAATTTTTTTTTGTAAATTAAATTTTATTTTTGAATTTTTTGCATGGCATCCAGAGCAGATTTATGGCCAAGTCGCGGTGACAGAACAGTGACAATGGCAGTCACAGTTGCTCACTCACTGGGCTAAGTCAGTCGGGCAGTCACTCTGCCAGTTTGTCACTCTGTCAGTCAGCCAGTCGCCAAACTTGCCAAAGTGGCAACAGCAACATCAACATCAGCAACACCAGCCACTTCCTTCATCCTGGCGTAAACTGATTTATTTATAAACGTATTTTATCTCTGGCTGTGACAAAGCATTCATTTCACATTCTGTCGAGGCGAACAAAAGACGGCGCTCAGGCCCAGAAATTAAAATACAAAAGTGCAAAAATGTTTGCCAAACTTGTTGCGCCCATTCGCAAAACACAGACAGAAATGTTTAGGTTCCATTGAAGATTAAGAACGGATATATTGTGCCTTTAGAAAGGTATTTCAGTAATAGTAATTAGATTTAAATAAATTTTTTGAGAAATTTTTCTAAACTAACTAATTTATAAAACCCCAAGATAGATTTCTTGTGGACAATAAATTTTAGACATTTTTTTGTCTTGTGTTCTTCTCTGTACAGAAATGATTATGATCTATTGAAGATGGAGAACTAATTTATTATACCTTTTAAATTTTATTCTAAATATAATAATTAGAATTAATAAAATATTTTAAAGAAATTCAAAGATATTTTTCGAATAAAACTAATTTATAATTAGAGACTTTTTTGTTCTGTGTACTTGGCTGTACTGAAAGATCAGTGGCTCGAAGGGGGCGGCGTAGTTACGGGTGCCTCATCAGCAAGGTCATTTGTTTTGTCTGTCGATGACAAAGCCAGTGTCCGAAAAAGAATCAACAGCAGGAGGAGCAAGATGTTGCCGCTGTGCAGTCGTGACAGGAAGCGATTCCTGGCGGTGTTGCCGCTGCACAGAAAAAATTAATCAAATACCAAGTGCATAGTCCTTAAAAATTCTTTATTTATTTGCACATTTTTCTACTTAAAAGATTTGAAGTAATTTTAATTGTATTTTCTATTTTATATGGGGAATTTTTTTTTTTTTAAGTATTGGGTAGAATGAAAGAACTTTTTTCGAGTGTGACTGTCGTCTGTGATGCTAAATGGTTGAGACAACAACGCTGTTTGTCATTACCGTGTGCGTTGGTTATTTTTGGGCAGGCTGCAACATCGCAGACACAGCAGCAACATCAATGGCCAAGGAGCAACAGGAGCAGCAGGAGGTGCCTCGGTTTGTCTTACTTTGTAGGTGTCAGAGTGGGGACCCACGACATTCTGTTGACGACGTGCTGCAGCTTTCAGCACACAACGAAATGGCGGCACAGTGGAAGAAAAGGGGAAAAAGCCAGGTAAAAAAATTAAACATTGAATACTGAACATTTATAAAATGTATTAAACATATTAAAATTTAATTTAAAATTGTTAATTAGCAGGTAATTTCCAAAGTTGTACATTTTTATGTAAGGTTTCAAATGTTGAATTATTAAATATAATCTTTTGTTTGCTCCTTTTTTTTATTTTAGATGCCGTTTTCTTGTAAAAACTTTTTAAAATAAAAATTAAAACGTTTTAAAAATCCAAAGTAAAATAAAATTTGTATAAAACTTTTGAAATTTTTTCTGGGTAGATAAAAAAAGAACTAGAGAAAATAGATTTTATTAAAGAACGTAATTTCGGTAAGGTAAATAAATACAAAATGTAAATCAATCCTTTGGTGGTTGGCAAGGGAACACTACTTGTTGCAGGTTGTTTAGAAACACTTTTATTTTGAAAGGCAACCACTGTTGGGGCAGCCGACTGCTGGCAATTGCTCGCAAGTGAATCTACAGCGGCGGCAATGAAATGGCCCAAAAAAGTGAGCCCGGGAAAGATACAGCTACACAGATAAACATACGGGGTAGAGCCGCAATCGCAGCCACAGCCCGTCTGAATCGGACCAAGTTACACACAAATAACGTATAAAAGTGGCTTATAAAACAAAATTTGTATGAATGGTCCATGTAGCACTGCCTGCTACGTGACATGACATCTCCGAGATACAACTTGTTGTGGACCCGGACCCCAAAAGCAGCCCCTCCCCCAGAATAGCTACCTTTTGGTCTGGAGCACTTTGCCCACTTTTTTGCGGCTTTGAGTCTGCTGCCTGTTGCCGGCAATGGAATAATTCCCATCAAATCACGTCCCGCCCTCTTTCCCTTTTTCTTTTTTCTGTATTTTTTCTTTTTTGCGGCGCTCTTCAAAACTCAGATACAGATTTCTGCTGCTTTTCCTTTTGGCTTGTGCGCTTTTTTTATATGATATGCCGAGCATCTCAAAACAATTTGTAAGACTTAAGCTGAGTTTGTTTGGTGTCTTGCATAAATTATAAAATCCGCAAGCTGAGTGCCTGTGCAAAAACAAAAAAACAAATAAAAAAAGAAAGAAAAAAAGAAGCAATGATAAACAAATACCGGGAATAGGGAGCAGGGAAAGGGGCGTGCTAACAACGAAACTTGCTGCAGACGCACAGGGCGAAAATTTAATAAAGAAGTGTTTAACGAATTAAAAAATAATTTAGTTGATTTTATTATTATTATTATAAATATTTCGAAAATTAATTGGTGTTAATTTACAGCTTACAAATCTTTAATGAATATAATGTTTTGGGATCTAATGATCATATAATAAATAAATAAAATTTGCTTAGGATGTACTTTCTTTAATATTTTTTTTAAATCGTTACAGAAATTCAGTAGCTTGCTTTAAGTTAAAATATTTTTAAAATTAATAGTTTTAATTTACGGCTTTTAAATCTTGTATGAATATAATGTTTTTCGTTTTAATGATCCCATAATAAAAAATAAAATCATTAAAAAAAAAAATTGTTAAAGATTTATTTTTTTTGCTATTTTTTTCTATACACTTTTTTCTTGCTGTGCATTGAAGCAAATTTCGGCAGATCCCCGGCAGATACATTTGTATCTCTCTATCTCGGTTTGCATAAATTTATTAAGCGGCTAAGCCTGGCCGAAATTCACAATTCTCAATTACCGAAAATATGGCAGAAAATCTGCCGGCCGAAACGTTGCAATCGTGCATCTCTCTGTATAGTAATGTGTATCTTACGGATGCGCCATACGGACTCTCGACTAATCCGAGTCAATAAAATTCTAACCATAAAAAGGGGCGGGCCCCGGCCTCTAACCCCGTTTGCGGGCCCTTTTCACAGCCTTCCTTAACCCACTTCCTGCCGGACTTTGCCAACCGTGGTCGAAATTGCAGCTGAGGTCCCCATTAAATCTACATTTTTGCGGACAGCACATGTGTGTGTGTGTGTGGCTGGTGGTCACAATTGAAATTTACGCAGAGCCGCATTATTAATCTCAAGATTAGATGGAGTCTTGTTTTTGATAAACTGAAATACGAAATAGGAAATACCTAACTGTATGCATAAATATAAATATGTTGGTGGGGTAGGGGGCTGCAGTGAGAGAAATAAATATTAATAAATAAATAGATTATATATAGGATAATATTACAATAATTACTTGGCCAATTTTAATGTTTAATGTTATTAGTTACAATAAAATAATTTTTTTGTTGGACTTATATTATTATATCATTAATTTAATTTAAAATGATTATAAATAGTTGGCCATTCTTAATAATAAATGTTATAGGTTACAATAAAATAGTTTTTAGATTTTCAAGGAGCCCTTCTAGCAATTCAAGGAAAGTACAATCCCTTAGCAATCGAAATCCAGTGTCTGAGAATATTTCTGTGTAGAATGTTTGCCGGACAACCTCGGATATACCCCCAATGTGGTGCCCCGCCCCCTTTCAGCTGTCTGGGGGCGATGGTATGTGCCCGGTTTACTAAGAACCAACAAATATCTTAGCCGCTTTTTAGAGCCAAACTTCGTTTGATTTTTTGGCATTTTTCGAGTGTGTGTGCTTGGCCTTATATGTGTGCTCTCATTGTGCTTCGAGGTTTGATAACCCCGATATAAATCTGGAAAATGCCGCAGTCACTCACACACTCAGTTTGTGGACTGTTTTGGCTTCACTTTGGGGCTGAAGTTCAATGGCTGGCATTCGGATTCGGATACCCATTCTCATTCTCATTCAATTTGTGTGTGTTGGCGCTTTGAATTTTTCATGCGACACGTCAATTATGGCCATTACTCAATTTATTTATTTATTTTCCTATTTATTTATTTACAATACGGCGGCCGAACTTTGGACCGATTTGGACATGGGTCGGGAGTCCCTGGAGGCCTGGGATTCGTTTTGTTTTTCATTTTTTTGTTGCCCGTCTGGTGACTGGAGAGTGGAGTGCTCATGAAGATAAATTAATTTTGGCAAATGGGCAAATGATGGGGTTAAGGGTTAATGGTTAAGGGTTAAGGGTGCGTGTGAATATTTACATAGGTAATCCGGGACAAGGGTCATCGATGACCCATGGCACCTTATAAATAGCCACAAGTGCGCCAATCCTATTCAAGATGCACAAAAAAAAGTGAAAATAAAAATAAATAATAGGAATATTATTGAAATAAAATTGATGATTAATTTTCCTTAAAAAAAATAGAATCCATAAGAGATTTATAGATGAAAATATAAGAATAATATTATATATAAAAATAATATAATACCAGAAAATTAATTTCCGTCCTTTGAATAACATTTATTTTTTTCCTGTGCCTCCTGAGTGTATTCCCCATTGAGATTGTGAAACATATTTTGTTGGGTTGCGTAATCCATCATATTGTGCGATCCTGTCTGGAAAATGCTAATGTGTTTGGGTGCTCGGAAAATCGGAGGGCGGGATGAGCTGCGATGAATCCAGCGCAAAGTCCATTCAATCTTCATCCCCAACGCCGCTTCTGCTTTTATGGAGCTTCACGTGAGTGCGGTAAATGTGTAAACTTTTCGATGCAGGCGACGCACATAAAATTAAGAAAGGAACTGGGCGAAATGGTGGGATTGCAGCCAAGGTTATGCCTTTTGCAGCAGAGATGGCAGCGTGACTCACGGCGATCGATCCGCCTCCAATCAGGCCACAAAAACATCTACCGCCCGCATTCACATTCGCATTCGTATTGGTTCATTCATTCATTCATTCAGTCAGCCATTTGCACACTCAATTCATTCACACGCCCGAGGAGCAGAAGGTCCTGCCATTCATTACGTGGGCATGGCTGAATCGTAAATACAAAACGGGCCAAGGACAGGGAGAGGGGTAAAAGAAGGGGCAAAAGAAGGGGCTAAAGGAGCGGCTAAAAGGACCAAGCCGAATCCCTGGCCCGCATTGGATTAGTAGCGAAATGAATAGCTGCAGTTATCCTGCCACAGAACCCTCTCGACACTCGCAGAAAATGTATATTAAATGAACAAATAATATAGGAAATATAAAAATACCTAATATGTTGAAAGTAAATTGCATTTTTAGAATATTAAATATAATTATGAAAGTAGGCCTCATATGATTTATTCAAAATTCATTTGAAAGTAATGCTAATGAGTCCTTAAATCAGGGGTGCTCCCTCTTGCGTTCACACGCCTATCTTGCATTGGGCACACGTCGATTCTTCTGTGTGTAGCTATTTAATTTAATTTTTTTACAATTGTATTTTTTTCAATTTTTTTCCCAGTGTCCTCTGCATTTTACGAGCATATGTGCACCAGCGAAGGTAAGCAGCCGAGTCTTACAGGAACATGCAGTTGGTAGGGGGGAGTCAATGGAAGGGCCGGAGATGGAGAAGTTTTATGAATGCTCACCGATTTGCCGCCGACAAATCTCCTGGCATTGCCTTTTCACCAATGCGACCGCCCAATTTGGGGCGTTTTTCCAGAAACCATTTAAATTGAAACCGGCAGAGGCAGCGGGGACAGCAAAGGCCCCACAAAAGACAGTCGGCAGATGGCAAATTGAGGCTCGAATGTGTTTTTGTCAGCCGCCGCCTCATAATGTCTCATCTTTTGGCCATCACACACACGGAGCCTCGGTCTTTGGTCCCTTCCTTTTTGGTCCATTGAAAATGGCTATGACACCTCTAAACTATTTGGAATTGCTTCAATGGACCTCGTTTGTGTGTCTGAACACGATGTAATTTTGGATGGTGGCCATTAGGAAAGGCCCTTATCTGCCCACAATGTACTTTTCAAAATCTTTAATGGCAATATATAATTGGTTGAGTTTTTTTTGAGAGCTCAAAATGTTTTATACACCTTCCCAATATTTTGAAAAAATTATAAAATGTACTAAAGATATTTACAGATAATAAATAAAATCAATTTAATTGGAGTGATTGTTTTATGCCAAAACAGGCTTTTAAAAATATAAGGAAGTCAAAGTGAGTTAAAGGCAATAATTATAAGTCAAATGACATATTTTCCCACCCACCTAAAAAAATCCCCTCATTACCATAAAGGCCACTTGAAGTTTATAACCTACATATATTTATTTTTATTGAATATGGCAAAAAAAAAGAATCTATCGTATATTAAAAGAGGCAAACAGAAAACAGAGAAGGGGACCAGAACGGATCCAGAAGAAGCTGTCAAGCGAGCAATTGAGACACATTCCCCATGAACTTCAAGATGAAGATGAAGATGGAGTTAAGTGGAGTCGAGTTGACTTCTCCCGCTGCTCCTGCTCCTGGTCCTCGGGATATAGTGACTACTGGCCAACTCAACTGTGTCGGACTGGTGACTGCAACAATTGTTTTCAATTTGATTTGCAGCAAGTGGAGCGAGCTGCGAGCCAGCCAAGTGTGTGTGTCCCTTGTCCTCCGTCCCTCCGTCAGTTCCAATCTCCATCCTCCATATATGCCGAAATGTCCTCTAATGTTGGGGCTTTCAGTTTGAGGCGCCTTCATCATCATCAACAGCGTCGTCATCATCATCGTCATCGTCGTCGTGGATGTCGGCTGGTGCTTCAGTTGCCAAAATGTCGTTGGCCAAAGTTGATGGTTCGGTTTCGGTTTCGACTTGGTCTACAGCCTGCAGCAAAAGGGGGCAAGTGCACAGTGGAAAATTAAATTAAGTCTGGGAATCATAGATAAAGTTTGATCCTTAAGTTTGGCTGCAATGGCTGGCGTTTAATGCCACTAAAAAAATTGTAAATGCGCGGATTACACTTCAAATTTTGTAATTATTTTGATATTTTGAATTATTTTCAATAATTATATTATTTAAATTAAAATTTAGAGTTGACTATTATTCTTTCTTTCTTCTGTTATGATATATAAATTAAAGGCATTTTCGACGGTGTGTTCATATAGGGGAGGCTACCCCCAGTGGCACTTACATTAGGAACCATCTCGGTGCCAGCTCCACTTGCGTCCACATTCACATCCCTATCCACTCCCACATCCACATCCAGCTCGTTACGCTCCGGACCGCTTATTGAATTTCGCTTAGTCCCCGTTCCAGTTCCAGATCCCATTTCCATTCCCGAACCCAATCCCGCACCCATTTCCCTCTCCACTCCGGGCACTTCGAGGCTCCGCGGCAACAGCGGCTGCTCTCCGGTTAATGTCTCTGCGTTTTGGATAAATTCATTAGCGGTTTGGAAATAAATGGAGAGATGGTCCCCTGAGGAACTCACGCATGTCCACATGGTAGCCACGATGATCGGCCGTGTAGAAGACGGTCGAGTATTTGTCATTTGGCAGGGGCACCGAGTAGTAACCCTTCTTGGCCAGGACAAGCTCTTTGCCAACGGGCAGCCAGTAGGCGCGTTCGTAGCGGGTATTCCCGTTGTCCAGTTGATATCTGGATATTGTTGATATTGTGGAATTGAAGCATAAATAAAATGTTTTAAAAATTCATGAAGATTATAAAATTGTTTATGACTCGTATATTACGTAAATTCGTAGTATTTTTAATGGTATGTACCAGAAACTGATTAATAAATATTAATTCTATCAATAAAATGTACAATAATTGGTAAAAGAAATTATCTTTTGGAAACAATTCAATTTAAATTGAATCTTAGTGAGCATCAAATAATTTTTAAATATTTTATATATATTGATTTTATTTTCTTGGGAAAACAAGCATTCAAGAAAATTTAAAACTTGCATTAAGTTAACGTCAATTTCAGCCTGTCCTGGTCTTAACAAAAATCTTCCATATCAAACAAATATAATATAAATAAAATATAATATAAAATATAATACCCATAAATATGGGTACTTATTTTTTAAGACTCCTTACCTGAACTCGTACTGCCCGTCGACCGATCTCTGATCGAAGCTGTCAATCAGCCGGGGACTGGACTCCGAGTGAATGGGTTTCTGCACCACAACCACTTGGGGATGTGGTTGTGGTTGGGGCTGTGGCTGTGCCGGTGGTGCCACCAGTGGTGGCCAGTGGTGAAGGTGCTGGTGGCGATCCGGATTCACGGTGGCCCGACTGGTGGTGCTCCTGGGCGTGGTGGTGCGCCTGGGTCGCCGGGTCAATCGGGCATCGACGGGTTCGTTCAGGATCAGCAGCAGGATCACCGCGCAGGCCACCACATATCGGACATTCCATCCCGCATAGATCTCCTTCGTTCGAAACATGTTTCACTCAGAGTTCGATAATTGATTGTGTGGCATTGAAGCGAACTGGGGCCGCCTTATATACCCCAAAACCAAAAGCAAAACGCAGCCCACTCGAGTGAAGCCTTTCGGCACTAAAGATGAAAAATGTTCCTGCGAAAGAACAAGAACAAGAAAGTGGCAAATGAAGAAAGACCGAACCGATGAAGGCAACAGGCTGGCTCTGAAGTATAATAAACCCCTCTTTTGCTCAAACGTCAATGCCAATGATTTGGCATTGCTTTTCGGTGGGCCCGAGTCTGGGCCACACTGCCTCCGAAAACTCCCTCGCTTCGCTTCTCCATTTCCCTTCCTTATCGCACTGCTGCGCAGACTCAGAGCTGCCCGACTTGGCTATATTTCCTGGCCAATAAATGCGGCGGTTTTTTTTAGATAATAATAAAATAATACAGATACACTACAATACAATACAATAATACACTTATTTTATTGTTATCCCGTTTAAATCTATTTACTGGGCATCAAAATATTATTCTTGATTTTCATTATATTGTAATACGTAAAACACACAAAATGGTATTGATAAAAAATATTTTTATTTTGTAAATAAATTTCTTAAATATTCTTAAACAGTTATATTTAAGTTATGGTTAAATATTTTAAATATATATTTATTTAAATATTACCTCTAAAATCTTGGTATATTATAAATTATTGTGACGGAATATTTTACCTTGATCGAATTCTTCTATTTATTTATACATATTTTTAGACACTTTTATTTGCTTAAATTTGTAAATAAAAAGTTAATAAATCACTTTGCCCAAAACCAATTGCATATTAACTTAACTAACATAAAATACTAGAGTAAACACAGAATCCTTCTTATATGATAAAACTGAATTCAAGTCAGATTCTAAACGGTTTTACTTATCTTTTTAGAATAAAAATCTCAGATAATTCTTATTTATTAAATAAATATTATAAATATCTTTGAATTGTTTTCAAGAGATCTCTTTACCTACTATTTATTAAATAAATATTAAAAATATCTTTGAATTGTTTTCAAGAGATCTCTTTACCTACATGCAAGTAAGGCTTTGGAAGTTCGCAATAAAGATACGTTTTCGAGCTGAATTTTGTCAAGCCTGAAAGCACTGCCTCAAAATAATGGCCACAACAAAGGCGGCAAAGAAAATTCATTCATAATAATTACTCCGGCGTTTGTTCGGCTTTTGTGCTCTGCGGTTAACCCTATAAAGACAGCCTTGTGCCCCTCGAGATGCAGACAGCACTGACACCCCCGCCTTCCAACTTCAGCCCCCCCAAAAAAGAACGTTTCTTTTGTCGGTTTTTGTGAGGCGTCACGGTGGCTTTTGTGATTTTGACAGCGTTTTCGGGGCCCGACGGATCCTTGAACCTGCGACGGGGATTCTTTTCGGCCTGTTTACTCCGTCCGTTTGTTTGTTTGATTTCTGATTATTTGTTTGTTGCGCCGCCCGGCCGGCCGAAGTGTGTCAGCCCCAGATGCATCATCCCGATCCCAATCGGAGTCTCTGGGTCCCATCGACATGGTTCATTGACCAGGCGCGTCATCGTCCCACATCGACTATCGGCTGGGCCCATCTCTCCCAGTTCTTCCCCCTTTCAGTGAGTTGGTCATCGATTTGGTAGCCCCGTGTGGGCGTCACCATCTGCCCCTAATTGCTTAACCCTTGTGGCCGAGAGTGTGTGATAAATGCCAGACTCCAGAATCCAGTCTCCAGTCTCTACAGACATTCATCACGCCCCCTGCGTTAAATTTTTATGCTTTTCTTGGCCTTTGTTTGTGATGACTTTGATTTGACAGCTAGTTTTCTATTGCTACATTTGCCCATATTGGAATAGCAATGGAATGTCCCGAAATTCCTTTGATTTTTATAAAAGTAGTGTGCAATATTATTATTATTATTTACTTGCACTTTAATTTTAATCAAGCTAGGGGTTTAGTATTTATTGAATTATTTCTACAATTCAAATTGTGACTCATTTATTTTATTATTATTTTTTTTAATTTAGATATATTATTTATGTATTTATTGTTTTTGCAAATAAGAACATAACGCACTTATAAATATTAAAAATTGTGTCTGCATTTTTTTATTTGTTAAATAATGATAAATTGCTCCCTTATGATTGATCAGCAGCCAAATGACATTTAATTGATAAATTAAATTAAGCGAATCTGTTGATAAATTGCGGCACAATTAATGATCAATAAACAGCTTTGATCGATCGTTGATCATTTATTGGCTTAAAATCAGTCTTTTCCTCGACTGTGTGTGGGAGGATGCAAAAGGAACGGCGGCCAGCGGAGGGTTAACACTCCATTTGGCAGATTAAACCCCCGAGAGTCCGTCAAACCGCATGCGTAATTAATAAATGTAAGCATTTATTCGGAAACAGTTCCCCCACTTTTCTTGCTTTTTATTCATTTCATTTCTTTTTTTTTGACATCCCAGTGCTATAATATGCCAAAGGTATTAAGGTGCCGACGACTAACGGTCGCCGATCTTATCGCATTCGGTTATTCGGTTGGCTTTTAATGGCAGGGACTTAAGATATTTCGCATGTTAATGCCAGAGGCATCGTAAAAAGGAGTTCGAATGTGCAGCTGAAAATCGGGGTGATGCGCACAACAAACTAATAAATATCTCCAGCCAAATAAGTATAAAATATTGTTTAGAGCCAAACCAAAAAATGGCAAACTCAGCTCAGTCGCTCTGTCGCTCCGTCTCTGTTCCATTGTCCGTCGCCGTCTCTTTCTCTTTCGGCGTGTGTGTTTGCAATATTTCATTTCCCATTTCCCATTGGGAAAAACCACCGAGCACCCAAATAAACCACCCCCTTATAGCCATAGCCATGGGCCAAGTGTCCCACCCATCGTTGGCATTTTCAAGTGTCTAAGCCATGAATTTATATTGCTCGATTTCGATTTAAAAGTATTTCGGTTACATAATCTCGGCATTTTTATCACATTCCAGCACTGTTTGATGCTCCCGGCAAACTTTCCCCGATTCGTCTTGCGAACTGACCTTCTAGACTCCCGAAAAACCTCGAGAAACCCCCCGAAAACCCCGAACATCCCGGTCACCCCTCCTACTGCCCCATCTTGTTGTGGTGTAAATTGCTCAATTATAGCCAAGTTTGCTGCCCAGGCCCATGTGTATCTGTGTATCTGATTGTGAGTATCTTTGTATCTGCAAAAGTTTCGCCGGCCAAGGCAAAGTTTCGCTTTAAGTTGATTACTTCATGATTTTCAGTTGACCAAAAACAGCACTTCCTAGGACTGCGGGGACAAAATGTGTGGAAATTGGATTCGAGATTAGTTGTATGCATTTCTGTTTTTATGGAGTTTGTTTGCGACTTTTGGGAGAGTAGAAAAAATATGACAAACTACGAAGCTCCTTTTAATCTGTTGAAAATCAATAATTTAGCAACGAATTTTTTAAAATTTATTGCACTAAAATGCAATTAAAACGTTATTTTTCGAAATCGAAAATGATGTAGAAAATTATTAATTTATTTGTTTTAAGAAATCTGTTGAAAATCAATGGTTTAGGAAAGCATTTTTCAAACAAAAAGTAAGCATAATATATTTTTTTAGATACACAATTATTTGGGAAATGATTTATTTATTTGTTTTAAATTTGTTTGTTAAACTTAACTAAAAATTGAAAAAAAACGAAAAAGATATTAAATGCAATTTATAAAGTAATTATCAAATTATTCACTCTTTTTTTCAATAATTTACCAAATCATTTTTTAGAATTTATGGCACTGAAATTCAATTTTTAAAGTAAGTATAATATTTTTTTAAATCCACAATTATGTAGAAAATTATTAATTTATTTATTTAAAAAAAAAACAAATGTTAGCGCCACATTCAAAAGTACTAGAGCATTAGGTTAGAAATTCCCGTTTTCCCCGTGGTTGACTCATGCAAATGACAGCAAACAGAAACAGAAACCGCAATAAAAATCACGATCAATCGCTAAAAGTTCAAAACGTGAGCTAAATGAACCTGTTTTTTCTTTTTGGCTTCGTTTCGCTTGACTATATAATGCAAAGGTCGGTATATATATCTATTTGCGCCCGTATATAACGCCATAGCTATAAAGCCACGCGCAAGATATGCAAATAGACGAGACAATATGAGCCACAATGAAATCTTGTTACATTTTACTTTTCAAATGCAAAGAAGACACACAAAATGTTCTGTTCTCGCCGTTTGTTGATTTAGGCAAATTCGTATTTAAGCCAGAGTCGAGCAAACTTTGGGGACCCGCGGATGTGGTCCTCGGATTCGGATTCGGATGGGGATACGGTGGATGCGGATGTAGACGCAGATGTAGATGTGGATGCGGATGCGGGCAACCCCTTTTTGGCGAGTTGGCCCAAACAATTTACCCAGAATTTGCGGGTCCGTCTTGGGATATTCGCGAAAAAACAACAGGAACAACAATCACAAGATGTACAGGCAAGCCTCTTAAGCTAAAGGTGGTAAATGTTTATTTTTTGAGCGAATATTTAATAGTCATTTGAAAAGACAAAAAAGTTACAAGGCGGTCGAATTTTAAAAATATTTTACAAAAATCTTTAAGAATATTTTAAAAGATTGAATAACAGAAAATGTATATCATTTTAATTGTGAAAAATGTAAAAAAAATACAGATTTCCGGGCTTAATTCCAATTGAATTTGTAATTCCATTTTAAAGATTTTTGCCATGTCTTTGGCCATTTACTTAGGCAAGTTGGCCTGTACCGGTGGGCAGAACTCAGGAGAAAGAGCAAGAGATATGGCGGGAAGTTGAGACAAAAGGCGCTTCATCAGCAACAACAATGACAGCTAACAAACAACCGTTAAGTGCCGCAACAAATCGCCAAAAATTGAAAACTGTGGGAATACCGCTCCACGTCAGGGACGCCGCAAAAGCCACGCCAAGCTCACACATAGCTACAAATCTCGTTTGCCCCGCTGTGGGACGTATGCAGAGGGAGAAAATTTAGAAGAATAGGTTTGGGTTTCGGAAAATATATTTGATTAGAAATCGAAGACCTGCAAATTATTACTTGCAATTATATTGAGTATACACTATTAAACTCTGCACTTTTGCAATCGATCATTGAATTTTCAAATGATTTCAACCATTTCATATTTTGTATTATAATCATACATGATTACTCACATGATCCGGCTCGAAGGACCATGAACAATTTTTACTATTTACGAAATTACATAGATTTTTTATAGTGACTTTGTTGAATTTTTTAACTTTAGTTAAATATATTTTTTTAAAGTCTAAAACTTAATTCTTTGTGAAACAAATATAATAAATTTGTCAAATTAAAATGTTTCTCTACGTGTAGCAACGAGAAAAAAGAAGAAGTACAGAGGACCCTGGCGAAAATAAAAGACAATAAAAACAAATAAAAAGTATTTCGAAATGCCATTTGAATTAAACTTGAAACCGAGTAACGAAGGAAGCTGAAACAGTGGCGAAAATAAAGCGAGTAAAACGGATAAAACAAAATGTAGCGCCAAAGCAAACAAGGAAGTGATGACTGTACGGGTAAGCCCCAAAAATTCGGTTAAGCGATTGTTATGCTTCTTATGCGCTCATGTTCTTTATGGTCCACGGTTTCCTGTTTTCATTCCCGGGCTGTGCTTAAAGGAATTTGGCCATAAAGTATGGCGAAATATAGTCGGTCGGTCCTAATTTCAAACCAAAAATAAATTGTATGCCATTTGGCAGCAGATAGCTTAATATTTTCTTACTTTTAGCAAATAAAATCCCAATTGAATGAATCGCAAAGATTTTTAGTTTCTGTATATAGTTCGATCCTGGGAAGAAAATAAAATATGAAGGCGAAAGACTTTTAATTTAAATATATTTACATACGTGCACAAAAAAAGAATGACAGTAGAAATGGTAGCACTTTAGCTATTAAAACGTATTTGGAAGCACTGAATACCGCACACTTTTCAGGTGTGATTTTCGATTATCTTTGCCCAATGGTCGTCTATCATCGGAAGCAATTCACCTGGGGCACCTCATCGCGCCTCACAATTGGCGGCGTCCTCAGGAACTCCACTGCAATATCACCCGGTATTTTTGTGTTTATTTATATTTAAAAATCCTGTATGCAAAAGGCCTTACCTGGCAGTGGCTGGTAACCATTAGAATCGGCTCTGTAGCACCGCAACTCGTATCTTAGGCCCTGGGAATCGTGGCGGGGCTGCACGTAGAAGCCCTCGACCACCTGACCATGCTGACCTTCTGAATAGAAACCCTTCTCCCAGCGACGAACGCCATGAGGAATGGAGTAACTGGTCAAATAGATGTGATTAATAAATAAAATGCGATAAATAAAAAAATAAATAAATAATAAAAAAAAATGTTAGCAAGTAGCGATGGGTAGATTTCCTAAGAAGGGGTTTTTTTGTAAAAAATCCTAATCCGACTTTCAGCCCTTTAAAATCTGTTTTCAACCATTATAGCGCTAAATTAAGTATATATATGAAATGTTATACCTCGTTGAGCTCGCACTTTTATGCCCAATCGATTGGCATTCAAATCTTTTATATTTAAACTTTTTCAAACTTTTTATTTTTAATTCTAACCAATTTTCGCAAGGTCATGTTGTAATCATGTATCATTATAAAATGCAAAAATTTATCAAAAAATATATTTCCCAGAAAGTGATGAGGATTGTTAGTTTAGTGTTAGGTTGTAAGTTGCTTACAACAGTGGGTCGTTTAGCTGTGGGCCTTAAAACCCGAAAAAAAACGTTTATTTTGGTCTAAAATTCGAATCCATATTTCCGTTCGAAAATATCAGTATTTTGTCCGCAACATTGTAAATAAAGGTCCGAATATGCAATATCAATTTTAGCCATTTTTCGCAAAAAAATTTAGATTGTTAGCTGCTCAAAACAGTCGGTCTTTTGGCGGTCGGTCTTGATTTGTCTGAATTACAATCGAAAAACGTCAAAAATTGCGTATTTTTTTCAAAAGCTCGAAACCCTATGAATCCTCAAATAAAAGTAAATATATTAAATATTCTAAATTTAAATGGAATGTAAATTTTTTTTCGACGTTAAGATTATTATGGTTTTTAAATTCCTAGGCTAAAAGTCAACTGGGTTTAATTTCACTTGCAAAGCTGAGGAGCAGGCTTAGCCCACCGCAATCTTCAGTTTGCAATCCCATCTTACTTGTTTAAGCCTTTTTAATAGTCATAGTTACGGCTTGAGCCTTGAGAACTCACCCAAAGATATAGCTGCCGTCCTCGTTGAGGTCATAGAAATTATCGCGCCAGGCATTATAGTCGTCCACCTCCACTTGGCCACCAGCCAACTCCTCCTCGGCGCCTCCTGGTTGTGGAAGTGGTGGAGGCGATGGCTGCGGCTGGAGAGTAGTGGTCTCCTGCTCCTCCTCTTCGTCGCCCTCCTCCTCCTCCGCCTCCGCCTCCGCCTCGGGGGACTCCTCTTCATTCTGATCCTGATCCGGATCGGCGGCGAACTGGGAACGAGCTGCTGCCCCCGAGGCGGGTGACGCAATGGCCGGTTGTCGCTGGGTGAAGGGCGTGGTGGCCAGGGGGGCGAAGGCATTGGCCAGTTGGTCGCTGAGGAGCTGCTTCAGTTGCTCCCGCATCTCATCGCTGGTTTCCTGGCTCGCGCTGCTCCCGCTACTCGACACCGATGCCGATCCCGATCCCGCACCGCTGGCGAATCTCTCGAAGCTCTCGCCCCCGAAGTTGGGCACCTGCAGATCCTGCGGCGGCACTCGAAAGGTTGGCTTTTGGCCAGCGACCAGGATCAAGGTGCCGAGCAGCAGCAGCAGCAGCAGGTGAAACTGACTCGATGGCATTTTGGGAGCTAACTACTGTCCCCTCCGGCGGGGTTCACTTTTATATGGCTGGGAACCCCGAGCCGATCCAAACCGATGAGCTGGCCATTCACACGGCTGACCACAAATCAGCCGCAGCATCGGCCGAGTGCATAAATCTATGGAAAACAATAGCGATGCGCGCGACAATTTGCATTTCGCACTGCGAGCTCCAGATTCAGATACACGCAGCCAGATATCCGGCAGATTCGAGCTGCTAAGAACGTTATGGATCCGCCGAAACCAGAGATAATTGCTGGAGTTTTGTCCAAATAAAAACCATTAACAACTATATATAAAAGGTAGGTAATCAAATTAAGGTGGCTGTGCTTTCACATTATCAATTTAAATTTAATTTTGAGTTTAACTTAGTATTAATTGAAATTAAATAGAAAGACTTATTGACAATAAATAAAAGAATCCAAATAAAGCAGTTACTAAGCTTGGTTTTAATTTCTGTAATAAAATACGGTAAAAATATAAATTGTTAAAATATTTTCTTTTCAAAAGCTACGTTATTAAATAACGTATTTAGATTTGGCTGTCCTTATATTATATTTAAGAAAACTATACAAAATCCCAAGCAAACCAATAAATATTGTTTTCCCTAAAAATATACCACTACGTATTAACACCAAAAAAAATTTTGATCGTAACTGGTTACTACTTTTTTTTACTCCGTTAAGAGGTGTTTTTATTTGATTATAATTACATATATATGTTCAAAAAGTATATAATTAATGTATATAATGTAGTTTTGAGTGCCTTTTAATTATATTTAATTCCAAACAAAGTTAAAACTAGTATCAGAATTCCCAAACTAACCAATGAATTTTAATAGCCTTTCAAATTTACCTGTACAAATCTTAAAAAACATATTTAAGGAGAAATAGAAAGTTATAATTTTCCTAATCAAAATATCTATATTTTTTCCTACGAATAAATAAAACCAAACAGTATTCTTGGGGAAAATATTTATAATTCAAATGTGCAGTCTGATATCCTATGATATACCTAACTTTCCAAGAGCCTATCACACTCCATGCTCTTTCACGATGCTCTGCATAATTATGCGATTCGTTTCTGGTCGTGATTTGGACGCCTCCGGGCGGTCCGAATGTGAATGTGAGTTGTGAATTGTGTGCTCCCCGCTAATTGGGTCAGCCGATTGCCTTTGACGCCGTGAGCTTCCGTGTTTATCCGCATTTGAGTGCCGTCTACTTTCGGGCCGGCGATCTCGACGGCTAATGGCATATTTTCGGGCGGATACTGGAGCGATTGGAGAGCGCCACCCGGGAATTAACAACACAACAATACTCACATTTCCACAAAATGAATTTTTATTCGATCGCTTTTGGGCTTATTTTATTTTTATATTTTATACACATTCAGATACATTCAGATCGCAAATCCTCACACACAATACTACTGCTCGCTTATCTCTTTCGCCGTATCCATTTAAATCCATACATTTTGAAGCATTTTTTCAAGTATTTATTTAATGCTCTCGTATGTGTTTACATTTTTTGTCACTCGACAATTTACAATTACAATTACAATGCTTGCAGTCATTTTGGAAAAAAAACAGACAAGGTTTTAAATATTTTTTGGGGTTTACTCTGTAGTTCATTTTGATACTTTCAGTATTTATGTATATGTTTTCATAAAAAAAAAATTATCATACATTTGACTTAATCCTAGGCATAGATGACTTATAGTACACATTGTTTTCCATTTACTTATTTTTTGCCTTTAGTTTTTTCATACTTTAGTATAGTTTCTTGATGCTATTTTGGTTTAGTAAAATCGCTAAATTTCGTCTTAAACTTTAGCTAGAAAAAGTTTCCTATGGTTCTCGGGGTTACAAAAAAACAAATCAAAATTTTATTTAACAATTAATAAGTAGTTTAAGTTTAAGCCTAAACAAAAAGCTTACATTTGCTTTGTTTTATGTACAAACGGAACGGTTAGACATATTCCTGTCTTAGAATTAGTATTTTAAGAAAATATTTGGTTTAATAACTAACTGCGTTTTAAAAAGAGTTAACAAATCATAGTCGTAAAGATTTCCATTAACTAAATATACAATTTGTTAAATTCATTTGGTTTGCTTTTTTCGTTTTGTAAGATTTTGAGGGTTTTTTTAAGACAGATGATGAGGGTTTTGTATTTTTTAAAGAAGAAAATCTTATGTATAGAAGTTAGAAATTGGCGGAAAGATACAAAAATATTAGTATTATATTTTGAAATCTCTTAATAAATTATACAAAGCTGAAAGTTGTATGCCTGACTGATTTTTGAGCTCAAAATGATAAGGGTAACTTTCCAGGAAAAGCATCATATTTATATTAGAAGTTAACTAATTTTTGGCCGAAAGGTTAGGTTGAAGTAAAAGTGTGAATTTCCCTCGCTAAAATCATTTTGACAGATTTTGGAGCTCAAGAATTTTCCGTGACTGATTCAAGAGCTCAAGATGATGAGGGTCCGAGAGTCAAGTCAAAGGAACTCTTGTCATGTCAGCTCGACCTTTAATCACTCTAATGATTTGAGCTTTCCCTAGAGCTCAGAAAAAAAGCTGCAGCACTGCACCATCATCATCATCATTATCATCATCAGCAGCATTATCATTATCATTATCTTGTAATTTTCCCCATTCTCCCGCGTGGCTGTCGCTGCTCTTTAAATTCAATCAATCAAATGGATTTCCCACACCCTCCTCGCTCGCTCATTGTCATTGTCATCTTTATTTTTTCAGAAGTCAACCCCCCCATCACGTCGTTTTTTGGCCAGCTGCGACAATATTTACACCATCGGAACCACTCAGACCACTCAAATCGCCGGGATGATCCCGGGCAACCGAGAGCTGAAAACCCAAAAGCAACCGCATTACGGTGACCACGCTAATTGCGGACCGACGGATTCCAGAGCCCGGTTCTATCTGTCGTTGATGGGGGATGGGAATGGGGATGGGGATGGGGATGGAAACTTTTCACAGGTGCGGAGAAATCTGTGGCCAGCTAATTTATCTAATTGAAAGGGATTTAGTTGGCAGATGAACTAAAAAGATAGCCAGGCTCCTTCGTTAACCCATTGCAAACGGTGCGAGAATCAATGAACGTTTGGAGATTGCTTATCTCTTAATTTAGAGTTTATTTTTATTTTTAGAACTTTTATGAACTATCATTGGGATCTTGGTTGTTTTATACTTTTTGAATACCCAATTTCCTTTTATTTTTGATGTGAGTAATTTATTATGAGCTCAACGGAACCCCCATATCTTTTTCACTGGTAGTTAATGGGTTACAAAGTGAAAGACTGGGGACTAGAAATGAATTTCATAAGACTTGCGAAGTGCAATACTCCGAAATCACTTAAAAAACTATTTTCGCGCAAATTGCTTGTCGGGAATTGGGAAACCCAAAACCAAACCCAAAACCCAAGACCGAAATGGAGCTACGAGCACGTGCCCGTGATGGATGGACTCTGGTCGCGACATCGTCGTGAAATGGACCACGTCCGCAATGCATGTAAATGAAGAAGTTCCTGTCGAGCGTTTTTCCAAGCTGCGAACATGTTGGGGCAAAGGGGGAGTTGAAGTGGAAATGGAAAGGTGGGCAAGTAGGGGATGTGGAGTCCGATAACAATGTTCTGGGACATGTTGCTCATACGCCACGTTGTCAGCGGTCTGCTCAGTGTCTGCCGGCCCACTACCCCCTATTTGTATCCGCATCTGGATCCGCATCCGCATCCGTATTCTCTGTCCTGCGTTCGCATTGTTTTCGAGCAGAAAATGCCGCTGTCGCAGCCGTAGAATGTCCGGCAAATGTCGCCAGCAATTGCGGTCCGTCGGCTACAACAACTGGAACAGCTCACCGGGCTTCCCCTTCCCCTTCCTCACAATCCCTTCGACTGGCTATCTGGCTATTGCAAAGGGGCTGGCCGAGGCCAATGGACCGACATATCTTCCATTTGTCTCGCCCCAGTCAGCAGCAGTCGTTGCTGTCGAGCTATTAGTGGGCTCATGTCGTCTTAAAGACCTTTATATATTTTTTTAAGATCTCATTCATTTAGTGTAAGAGTTGCCAAAAAAACGTAAATATTAAGAAATATTTTTTGGAAATTTGTTTTTGATTTTTAAAAGGTCTTTTCCGTTTTGCTTTCATTCATCAATACAGCTGCGATAAATAATAATAATATTACTCAAGCTTTTAGTTGAAGCTTTTAAAAATAAAAACGAATTAAAACTAGTGTTATGTTATGAAGAAGTTATGTTGTAGGTATGATCTTATTTAATTTATGTAAATTCCGTATTTTACAGAAAAATCTAGGAAACCAAATTATTTGATCTTATTTAATTTTATATAAATCTAGAAAATTAAAATCAAATTATTGTATAAATAAAATTTGTGTTTAAATAATATTTTTAATTTTAAATAAATTCTGTACTTTTTAGAAAAATAAAACAAATTATTTTAAATAACATTCTTAAGCTAAACGCAACTGTACGTGTGTATTAATATACTGATAGTTCCCTATCTTTCGCTCCAAAGCAAGTGGCCTCATTAACTTTACCGAAAAATACTTAAAAGTCGCTTTAGAAACTTTGAAAAAACAATGCTTACAGAGGAAGTTTGGTGTTTGGTGTCTCTTCATTACGAAACAACTCCAAACTCCCGACTCTGCAGCAATTTAAATGAATGCGCGTTCACCTTGCTTTAAAAACGAGGAGAAAAGAAAGCGCGAAAAGAGTGCAACGGAATGCAAACCGGATGTGGGGGGCGGTGGGTGTGGGTGGGGGTTTTGGGTTGCAAGTGACATGTTGCGAGGGGGTGAAACAAAAAGCAACCACCTCCTTGGTGTCCTTGTTGTGTCATCAGTGACGCTGCGGCTGCGGTTAATATGTTGGCCGATGTCCAGTTGCTGTAACGGTTGCTTCTTCCGCCGATGTTGCTGCTGCTCCTGTTGCTGTTGCTCCTGCTCTCTACCGTTGTTGTTGCTGTTGCTGATTGGCGGGCCATCCTTAAATGTCAATGGGACGTCATGATAATCACGTCTGGTGCTGAATTCCGTATGTCGATAAACACTTTGGACTCCTCGTTCTTCTGCTGATGCTGCTGCTGCTGCTGTTGCTGTTGCTGCTGATGATGCTGCTGCTTGTTGCCGCCGGGCAGGATCGTAGTCTGTCCCATGGCCCCGTGTCCCTTCATCGTGGGCAGACGGGCAGCAATGCTCGGCGGATGCGGATGTGCGTGGTGCATTCGCTGCTGTTGCTGTTGCTGCTGTATATGTTGCTGCTGTTGCTGCTGTTGCTGGTGCTGCTGCTGGTGCTGGTGATGATGGTGACAGATCTCCTGCGGCTGCTTGACCGTCGAGGCCACCAAGAGTCCGCCGTAATGCGAGCGGCCGCTGTGTCGCTCCTCCATCTCCATGGACTCCTGGCGAGGCAGCTGGTGATGTTGCTGCTGCTGCTGCTGCTGCGGATGCTGCTGATGCATGCTGCGTCTTGTCAGCGTTGCCACCGCCGGCGATCCGGATGGCTCGTAGCCAAAGGTGGAGAAGAAGCGCTGCGGCGGGGGCGGCATCATCATGGCCCCGCCCCCCGAGCCGCTGTGCCCGCCCAGCGATGAGGAGCTGGACTTTTGTCTCATTAGCGTCGCAACACCGCCGCCGGGAGCAACAGCAATACCAATGCCAACGGCAACGCCAACACCCGCCGACGGTCCAATTCCGGGACTGTTGACAAACAGCGATTCCCTGAGCGGAGAAGGAGAAAGGGAGAAAAAAAGAGAAAGGAGAGTTGGGAGAGAGCAAAGTGAAAGGTTTTAATATTTGTCAGTCACACACGAGGGCAATCGGTTGCGAGGACACTGCAAAAAATCGGGACCTAAACACTGGGATCACTCCTAAAATCTACGATTGAAGTTTGAATATTTCCCAACACTAAGTTGATGGATCTAAAACTCTTTGTAGAATTTCGAAAAAATGCAATCACAAAAGTTGTTGCCTACTTCTCAGCTGTTTTTTTGTTGTTTTTGAAAACTCTAATAAAAAGAAATACCAAAAGAGCTTACAAATAAAACTCCCTTATATCAAAGACATTTATCTATACGTATAAAACTCTGCTTAAAATTTTAATTGATTCTTCAAAGAACCCAAGCCAGTGAACCTTCAAAATTCAAATTTGTACCCAATATTAATTATAGTGAAGGTTTGAGCTAAGAACCTTTTTCTTAATTTAAGTCCATTTCAAGGCTACAAAATAAAATGTATAAAAATAAATCAATTAAAAAATAATAATGGTCTAATAATGCTTTTTTAAAGTATCCCCTTAGTTTTGTAAGTTACTCGTGCTTTTCTTTCAGTGTGGCTTAGAGGGATTATGCGGAGGACGGGGCATTGGTGAGCACAAAGGTGATTGTGTAGCCGCGGGACAGGGATTGTGGCACAACGGTATGCGCCAATCAGCTGAATTGAATCCGTCGGACGGCTGTAAAGGCATATGGTCTAAAAACAGGATCCCGTTGACAGATAACTATCTAACACTTTGGCAGTGCTGACCGAATCAATGAATTTTGTATTGAAAGAAAATTGAATTTAATTATTTATAATTTAGTTAGGTTAGTTATTAAGCCGAAAAAATCAATAAAATCATAGGGTTAGTATTCGGATATCAGAAAGAATGTAAAAGACGAAAACAATAAAATTAGTTGGGTATTTTTTATTAATCCAATCAAATTAAAATCATTTACATTTACATTTGCAACACTTAGGTATTAATCTAAAAATTAGACCAACCATACAAGTTAGTTTTTGGAACATCAAGCAAACATTTAAATTAAACAATTGTGTCTCTTAATCTAAATCTCTGTATCCTGCATTCGCACATATGTCACAGCCAAGAGATAAATGCGAAAGCCTCTAATAAATCACCCCGAACAACCTGTAGCAGTTTGGCTGTGACAGTGACAGTGACTCGTTCCCATCACTATTTCGGTGGCATGAATCATCTTCATCTGGGCACGTCGGCATTGTGTCACTGCATTCCGCCTGTCAGCCAGCCAGCCATTCCCACTGTCTGTCATCCTGCCATCCTGGCATCCTACTATCCTGCCATCCTGCCATCCTGCCATCCCGCCACTTTGCCATCCAGCTAACCCACATTCCCGAATCATCCTGCGACTCCTGCGACTCCAACCTGTCGCCTATATATCCAATAAAGACGCATGCAAATACAAATATTTGCATCGATTTGTGTTGTTCGAGGGTACGAACATACATAGTATCGCCCCCCACTGTTACTTCCTGGATTACTGGATTCCATTCCCCGGAACTTTAACCGGGCTTCACATTCACATTCGCATTCACATTGTCATTGTTTTTAGTGTTTGCCCGCCGTTGACTTTGCAATTTTCTGGCATCTATTTGACTGCACTTCGGGATGGGGATGGGGATCAGGATCGGGAATGGGATGGTAACTCACCTCGTCTGACAGCCCATATCGCAGGCATTCGAGGGCACCGCCGACATGGCCGCCTTAGTCATCAGCTCGTGGGTGGCCGTGGTCGTCGAGCTGGACTCGCCGTCGTCCTCGCAGAGACTCGTTTGGGTCATATCCGCGTGCCGGCGCAGGATGCTGTGCTCCTTCTCCTTGAAGTCCGCCTTGCTCGACTGCGTCGACAGGGGGACGGCCTCGCGGTAATAGCGGTTCGACACGTCGTCCAGGATCTGCAGCGAGGTCTGCGAGTGCTTTTGCCTGCGAGGCAGAGGAGCAAAGGAAGGGGGATTTCGGATTAAATTTCGCACATTTTCAGCGGTCCATCGGGGAATTTCATCACAAATTTCATCGGCATTAAATATCAATTTTTCGGCTTAAAGGGTTTACGTTTCATAGTAAATAGTTTCAAAGGAACTAGTTGTTTTTGAACTTGTACAAATAAAATATATACCTAATATAATAAATAATAATATTATTAAAAAAAGGCATATTTTTAAAAATAGAATAATTCCAAATTTTATATCAATTTAAATTTGAAGGTTTTTTTAAATCATATCTGAATAGTATTAATTTTTTTTAAGCTATAAAATAAACAAAAATTTCGATTTTCTCTTAATCTTAAATCTTTAATTAACTGCTAGAAAAATATTTATATGCCAGGCCAAAGTCTCATTAATTCCAAGACTGTCGGCCGACAATGGCTGCACAGCTGTTTGATTATTCGACAATCGGTCGTCGTGCTGAGTTCGTGCTGAGTGCATCATTAGTGCACAAGCACACACTGCGTATACGTAATGCGATGGGGTGTCGTCAATTAAGTGTGCTGCCTACTTGCATTCTAAGCGATTTAAGATTTAAGATGGAACCAAAATCAGGATTCGGTACTCAGGATTAAGAAGACTCACCTGGAGATGTTCTCGCGCGAACGACCCTTGGAGTTGCGGCCCATCTCGTCCAGCTTGCTCTCCTTGGACTCTCGGATGTGCTCCTGCAGGGGTTCCATTGCAACAGAGAGAGAGAGAGAGAGAGGGAGAAAGTAAGAGTGAGAGGGGTGAGACCAATGTAATAAGCATAACAATAAATATTTTCAATTAATTTGGTAAGGAAGGGAGGTGGTGGGGAGTCGATTTAAGCCCGATTCTGCAGTCTGCAGTCTGCAGAGCGGCGTAATATTGTAATATAATATCCTTAAAGCCCACTGCACTGTGGATTATGAGAAAGGGCTGGCAAAGGGGGCGTGGCTGAGCAATTAAGCCACCAGCCACCTGATGCCCCATCTCTCTCGCCCTCGCTCCCTCTCTCTCTCTTTTGCAGTCATTAATACTTCGATTGTATAAAAGTGTGAGGGAAAAAGGAGGGGGAAAACGGGGGGAAATGGAAGGGGGAAGGTCAGGGGTGGATAAATCCTGCTGGGTGAAGCACTTGATGGCCTGCATAAAAGGAAGCGTTAATACGTAAATACAGAATAATGAAGGACGAACTGCAGGCACTGCATCCACAAATCTCGATGGCCACCAGCCCAGCTGAAACCACCTGAAACCACCTCAAATTGCATTCATAATGGAATACAAGGCAAACATTGCGTGCACCTTTCCCTCACTTTACTCTTCATTCCCTGCCTTTTCGTATCGCTTGCCAATTACTTTCCTTATTGTAGAATATTTCCCTCGCTCGAACTTTGAATTGAATTGAGTATAATGGAAAAATGAGGAGAATCCAATGCAAATCGCTAAGGAAATGCGAGTGTCTTTCGCTCGTTCTCGTTGATTTCCCAATGACCAATGCCAAAAGGTAATTGGTTTCAAAAGCTAACAATCCAACGATCTAAAGGTACACATTTCATCTTGTTATATATAGGTATTTATTTTTCATGTATAAGTATTTATATTGCCTTTGTGCGGTATTAGATTTGGCAGCCATTCGTTTAGCCATCAGATTGTCCAATGGGAACATTAAACTATTACAGTTTCAATTTCAATTTCAATTGCTACTTAGGGTTAAGAAACGGGGACCAGAACTCGTAACTCGGGTCTTGTGCCCCACGTTGGGCGCCAAGACTTACGTTTTTCATTCCCTTTCGATGATGCACGTCGATTTTCGATTCGCATAATAATTTCTATAAACTGTAAGCCTTTTAATGAGGTTATATCCATAATACTGTTAACTATGTTCGCCTACCTAAGAGCGGGGAAATGGGATATCTATGATATCGCCCGCCATACAATTAGCAGCTTAACTTAATGAGGGGGAAAATGTCGACCGACTGCACAACCCCCACCCCCCTGAGGACCGGGACCCGGATTTGAATTTGTTCTGATTCTGATTTCGGCTTGTTGCGGTGAACTCAGCACGAACGACGGGGGCAAACGAAGGTCGGGCCACAGGGAGAATGGTTTCGGTATCGCTATCGGATTTCTTTTTTTTGCGAATTTTGCCAGCCTGATTTTAATGATGTCCATGCAGATGATTCTGCAGATCCGCCTGCAGCAGCAGGTGGTCAAGGGTCAAAGGCCACCGCAGAACGTGAGCGAATATTTATTCATTTTTTCTAGATGATTTTGTGCAGGAACTTGAGGGCATGATGGCCGCCGGACTTGGGCTTGGCCAGTGCCGGAGGCGGCGGCGGTGTAAGGACCATATCCAGCTCCATGGAGGTGGACGAGCTGATGGGCCCCGTGCCGCCGCTCGATCCACTGCTGCACTGCATCGAGCTGCTGCACGAGTGACTCGAGTTGCTCGGCAGGCACTGCCGGGTGACCACAACGAACTCGTCGTCATCCTCTTCGGGCAGCGTGAGACCGCTGTCGCTGTCGCAGCTGAAACCGATGCCGTCATCGTACTCCTGATCCTCCGCCTGCTGCTCCTGCTCCTCCTCCTGCTCCTCTTCGTACTCCTCCATTTCCATTTCCATCTGCTCGCCATCGCCACCGTCCATGTCGACATCCATTTCCACATCGGCATCCACATCCATATCGAAATCACAGTCACACGTCTGCTTGGGCGAGTCAAAGTCGCAGTCGTCGCCAACTGCCTGCTCGTCTCGGGCCTCGTGCCCCACGTTGGGCGCCAATTGCCCGTCCGACGAGTAGGAGAAATCGCACATGAAATCATTCTGTAATCCCACGAAAATCGCGCTCTTGGGCGCCTCCAGTATAAAGGAATCAATGTGATAGATTCCGTCACTCAACGCGGGCACGTCCTGTGGATGAAGCACAAACAGAAAGAGAAGACAGGCAGAAGAGAGAGAGAGAAAGCGAAAGATATAGATAGAATAGAGAGAGAGAGAGGGAGAAATAGAAAGGGAGAGAGAGAAAGAAGTTGATTTAAACACAGAGAAAGATTGTGAGCTTTTCACATCACCGATTTAACCAAGAGAAGAGTGAAGAGTGAGAGGAGGCAACTCTAGAGCGAGACAACTCTACTAATGTGGCAATGGGATTGTGAGCGAGCGAGATAGATAGATAGATAGAGGAGGGTGTGCGACGTTTGCTACATGCATGATGATGGCAACTCTGGCTACTAAATAAGCATACTCACAACATCCAAATATCCAAATGAAAAGAAGTCAAATGAGCAAATCTCATTTTCTATTCCAATTTTCAAAATATATTCACATAAAATCACTGAAATTTGTTGCAAGGCTGTAAATTTAGGTTAGAAATCGGTTCTTTAATGTAAGCTGATTAATTCGGCAGAGACTGTGACTGATGTTTCGAGAAATGCAACATCCTGAACTGTCAGTCGGTCTGTCTTCGCTTTGAGTTTTCCAAAATCCTCGGGGAAAGTCAAATTTTCTACAGTTTTGATTGGCAGACAAACTCTTTAATTTTACATCATCAACTTTGGCAACACAATACAAATCACATAATCCTAATTGATATAAAAATAGCTCAAATAGCTTGCCCATTCAATCACCAAAGTCCTTTTTATCACAGTTATCCCTTGCATAATCCCATCAATAAGACCCATGGGAAAATACAAAAATACATGCAATTGCGTTTCGTTCTCATATTTTTTTTTCTAATACCAAAATTGCAATATGGCTCTGAGTAAATGGTAGCCAAGGCAATCGCCCCAGCAGAAAAGTATATTTGCAATATGCACACAATAAGTCCCAACCCCCGACGAATGCGAATGCGAATGCGAATCTGAAGCCGAATCCGAATCCCGGCAACTAATCTGATTTGGCCGAGGGGAGTGGAGGGTTGCCAACCCCATGCCAAGAACTATACTACCCCATATTTACCTCCTGATTCCCACCCCGTTTGTCTTCGATTCGATGCTGGGGAACTGGGCAACTGGGCAACTGGGGAAGCTGGTGCAACAAAAGTCAACGATAATTTAATCATGTCTCTCACTGGATCTCCTGGTAACCAAGACCGAGTGGACACAAAGCCCCGTTGGCTAAGCCGGTGCGAGAACTCAATCCGAAGTGGAGAGTGGAGACTGTTGAGTGGGGAAAAGGAATTGCAATAGGAATAGTTTATTCCATTTGGATTGTATTGTCAACGATTTGCCACTTGCAGCTCGGCAGCTCGGCCAATTTGTGGCCTGGCACTGCGCACTTGGCGTATGAGTGATATGCAAATGAATATCCACTTCGGTGGAAATAAAACTCAATTTGCTGGAGTTTGTGCCATAATTAATAGATATCATTGCAGCAGATTGCAGCTGTCCTGTCATTAAACACACAGGGGCGGCGACTGAGAGGGAGTGCCAGTATATGTATAAGGAAGCGAAAGAGAAGGAGAAATAGAAGGAGATGGGGCCACAAAGACGTGACAAGTCGGGCCTTCTGGGCCTGCTGATGACGGCCATCAAGTGAGTTTGTCTGGCTCTGATTCTGTCTGCTTTTGGCCTTGTTCTTTTCCCTTTTCCCTCCATTTTCCGGCCTTCCGTTTGCGGCCTACAGCTAAATTACTTTGGTCAGTCCCACTGCCTGCCCTTTGTGGTCGAGTTTTATACGTTCTCCCGGCCATTCTCCAAGTTTAGAGAAAAGCATTTAAGACTCATTAAATCATCGAGTGACTTGGCAAATCAACTAGTTCTTGGAAAAAGTGTTCTTTGAAAAAAATCAAATTAAGACAAAGAATCATTAGAATTAAGTTATTATTTTAGTTAGTTATGAATAATAATTTTCTTCTAAATATTATAAATAGTTTTCCTTATAACGCACGTTAAACCATTTGTTTTTAATAAATATAAAATATTCAGTGGCGGATCCAGAATTTGATTGTAGAGGGATTTCAGAACAATTTCTTTGTTGCATTTTCTTCTTTTATTTTTCACCCGAGTGGAGGGGTCTTATCCCCCATAAATATAATATAGTATTATAATTTGCCTTGAAAATGTAATAAAAATAAGCCGAATTTTTAAGCTGTGAAACCGAAAGTGTGAAAGGGTATTTAAAGCTCCGGGGGGTCTGCACCCCATCACCCTGACCCATAAATTCGATTGTCTCCGTAACCTTCTCCACATCCCCCGAAACTCGCAAAGTATCGTATTTGATTAGTGGTTTGCTTCACACGAAACTGTGCCAGAAGTGATTTCTACGAGGGCAGTTGGCTTATGAAATATATAATCAAACCGCAGGGCAGATTTCAATCCTGCGGTCAACGTGGATTGTCCGTCCATGAATTTCAGTTTCAGTTTCAGTTTAGTTACTTTATTTCTTTGCGATAAAGTTCCGGTTGCGTTTGTTTGTTTGCCGATTTGTGTTTAATGCCCAACGCTTTGTGCCAATTAGGGGGTTAAATTAAACGAGTTCGTTTGTCTTGGACGCACTTTAATTGGCCAAAACAATTGCGTAACTGCGAATTTCCAGTTGAATCGCTTTGGCTGTAATAGCATTGCCCATATATATTGCCTGGTTATTTAATAAAATGTTTGCGGAATATGGAATATATATTTGCCAATTTTTGTTTGCCAACCAACCAAACGCACACACATGAAAGTTTTTGGCTTTGCGCTCCGCTGACTCCTGCCTTT